AAAGCGGTCAAATACGGGTATGGGTCAACAAAAAATGGACATACGTCTTTCCAGGTATAACATTATAATATACGTATATATAGAGAGAGACATGGCAAAATTAGTGCACTTTGATGCCCTTGGCTTGGGGAAAGCGAGAAATCGGGTAGACTCCTGAATGCCATGCCCCTTCAATCGTGATAAAAAGAAAGGTCCATTGCGCCACATACGCATCTGCCAAGCGTCTGGTACACATCGATGTGCTTGCGACGGAAGCCAGTTTCGCAGTATGCAAAGTAGTAATGCCACCTGCGCTTCACATGCAGCACAAGATCGGCAATCCTTTTTACCAAAAGGGGGAGATACCCCCAGTGAACATCAATCAATCCCCACTAAAATAGGTTCTAAAATGGGTGGTGAATTCACCTACCATCCAAAATCGGATACCATTGGATTTGACAACCACAGCCACATGCATTTCAAGAGAACGCGGATGTGGCATTGCTGTGAGCGCCTGCGCAAGAAGCGATCATTGAAGCCGTCGCCGCTGGAGCGGTCAATCAAGCTGCAGATCCTTGTGCGGTGAGCCAAGCTGAATGACAGAGTATGTCATGTCTCAAACTGAAGAACCATTCATCGTCATGTGGCCATGGGTCAAAACCCCGTACCCCTAGTGAACATCCCAATCCCCACTAAAATAGACTAAAATGGGTGGTGCAGCTACCCCAAAATGGTACCATGGGTTTTGACAACCACAGCCATGTGGGTGTGGCTCCGGTAAATGGACCAGACTCAAACCTGCCGTCCCCTGGCTCTTAAATTTTGGGCCAAGTTGGCAAATCGCACTGCAAGAACAGGCGACTCCATTTGGCGAATCGCTGCAACTCCAGGTTTGAGACACTCCTGTCTGCTGCTGAGTTGCTCAGACTCATGAGCAGCGAAGCGACATCTCCACTCGTTGAGTGTCTCCGCATATGAGATGCCAAGAGAAAAGGGAGCGGCGCACTCTTGCAGAGATGTCCTTGGATGATCCAGAGATAGCATCAGAACTATGGAAGATGCCTCCCGGATCGCCCATTTGGGGCACAGAACTCCCCAACCGCTTTGCTCACGGCCCGGAAACGTTGCTAGTGTTAATGCCAGGGGACCTCCCCACACGGCAGGCACGTCGAATTTCGGCAAGGCAGGGCAAATGTCCACCGGGGAAGATCTTCTCGCGGATGAAGTCCGTACCCTTCCTCTCAGCATCAGCGCTCTGGCTCCACAAAACATCCCTGTGCGGCAGTGTTAAAGCGAGCCTTAGGCTCTGTGCCTAGTCTTGAATGCTTTACAACGTGAGTGTGCAGCTGCAAATTACAGGCCTTCGTTCAATGGCCATCTTACAGACTTGGAAAGTTGCAGCCTGCCACAATCCTTGATGAGTTGCCGCAAGCAAGCAAGCAACTTTGTTGGGCAAAGCAGCTCCTCCTGCAAGGCTCCATCACCTTCCACCCAAAATCAACTGCATCACCGAGTAGAAAGACGGGGATGTGTTAACTTGACAGGGTATTCACATATCGGTCCGGCGCTCTTTGAAGCGTGCCTGTCTTTTTTGCAGGCGCTCGTTTTTGGTGGGAGCCATGTTGCGGGTCCCCTGAAAAGAGACCCCCCCATATGATTCCACCTGGCAGTGCCATCCCTTCCAAGGGTTCATCGGCAAAAACGAGGTGAGCCAGGGAAGCATGGGATTCCTTCCCTCCCAAAACCATGCATCACACTCAACAGCACCTTGCAACAAAAACAGCCTTTCCCAGGCTCCTGTAAGTCTCATAGCGCTCATCTGGGACGCAAATAGCTTGGATAGCCACTTTGCCCCCGGGCTTCAGGCACCTCAGGAATTGCAAATGTTGAATTCTGCGGACTTGCCTGTTACACTTACTGCGGACTTTCCAGGCGTCGACCTTCAAAAACTCGCTGCATTTTGCATGATTGAGTTTGCGCAGCCATCAAAGGGTGCACCCTCTTCCGACTTTCAGGGGGTCGACCCGCAAGACTTGGTGCTGGTTGCTCTGTAGGTTGCTTCTGCACCCCTCCGAGGACTTTCGGGTGGTCAACCATCGAAAACTAGTGCTTGTTTTGTGCTTCACCGGCCAGCTGGCCGGTAGCTGACCGCTAGCTGACCAGTTGGCTAACTATCAAAGAAGGCAATCTATAAGCGCTAGCTAGCAAGCTGAGTAATTAGCCAACTGCCTAACTCCAATTAGGTGGCTATTCTAACTGGCTAGCTAGCCCACTAGCTTGCTCTCAAACGATCTAACTACCTAGCCAACCAGCTAACGAGCTACCTCACATTCTTGCTGGCGAAGCAGCTAATATCGAGCTAACCAGTCAACCTCCAATCTAGCCAGTCAACTTGTTGCTGTGACTGGCTCCCTGGCCAACTGAGCTAATTACCAGCGAACTAGCTAGTAGCTAGCTAGCTATCACTGGCTTTGGTGGCTGCCAGGAAGCGCAGGCCGGCGAAATGTCTAGCTTGGTTGAGCCAATCGGTTAGCCAGCTGACGAGCTAGCGAACTTTCGAACTGGCGCACTACCTTTCCAGCCAACTAGCTAGGTGGCTGACTAGTTGACAAACTAAGTAGCCAACTAGCAAACTTCCGTTCCCACATGCACTTGAAGCAAAATACGCAGGAGAAAGGAGCAATCACGTTGCCTCATTCTTTTCGAAACGTCCGCGACTTTATAAATATGGCACAAATGTATCTGCCAATGTCTAGGTCCAACATACTGTATTTTAGGCTGTTTTAGGCCCCCAAGAAGCTTGGACAACTTTTGGAAGAAAGCTCCATTTTCGAATGGCAAACAAAAAATGACCCAAATTTCGACAAACAAGGTGAGAAGTAAAACCTGTTTTCAGTGATTATATTTGCTTCAAAGTACCAAAAACAGCATATGCAATTGTAAAAAAGAAAGGACCGACCGGCTCCACCAGGACCAAGGCACTCATCGAAGGCTCCGAAATACCCAGGCAGGTAATCATGTCCCACAGCTTCGATCATCTCAATGCTGACCTTGGAGCGAAGCAGGGTGCAGTCCGTTCTCTCGACCTCAAGTTGTCTCATCCCCACCAATCCCACACCCGCGGGCGTAGCAGCGTGCCGGCAAATCAAGGAAATCAACACGCGGGGGGCAATGCTCGCCAAGAAACGGCCTTGGAGAAGAACTCGGGCCCAAATTTGGCCTCAGCCAGTTGCATGGAGTTGTGTGGCGAGCCGGGCGAACTGGGGCCGGTGCCGCCACATCGCGGTAGTCGCAGAAAATGATGCGAACTTTATGCTGCACTCCAGCTGCTACCACACCTAAGACACCGACGTGAGGGGAGTCAAGTCGAGATGTGGCAGCTGTACAGTCATAACCCCTTCTGGTGCCCCTAGCAAACCGAGCAGAATTGCAATGCTTGGACGGGGCGTTGCTGATTGCTCACTTGCCCAGGCACGCTGGCGGGCAAGCTCCAGCTGCTGCCTAAACAGGGCGCCTGGAATTGGGCCCAAGAAATTGCTTTTTATTCTGCCTTTGTGGCCCTTCCACAGCCCCCCCCCCCCCAATTTTTAGAAACCGCCCTCAACAATAGTAAGCCACTGACACCCATTTGCAGCCTTGTGCTTTTCCTCTGGCCTCGAGATGGTGATCGCTGTCCAGCCGGCCAGGTCAGGAAATCGCGTCGCAGCCCTTGACTCGGTGCGAAACATGTTTGGCCCGTGGAGCCGAGATGCAAGCGCTTCCTTTAAGACAACCAAGCGAAGCAGACAAACGGCAACAAACGGCACGGAATTCCATTGCCAACAGGCAGAGCTATCAACGTAAGGGAGAAGCTGTTTCAGTCTGCGTTGCAAAAACACTTAAACCCGCAATCTGGAACGCAAAAAGCTGGAGTAGGGTGACAACAAGGAGCTCATTTCGGTAGAAACACATGCCGAAAGGGTGACCAAAGCAGCTGCTCGGGCACTCCCCCGAGAAAAAAACGAAAAAGAAATGAAGTATATAAAGGTGCGGCCTCCGAATCCAGGCTGCCTTAAAGGGAACTCCCCCCCCTGCCTCCGGTTGACATATCCAGGCTGCCTTCAAGAGAACTCCCCCCCCCCGGCCCACGTTTCTGCCGACGGGTCCGGGGCGCCGGATGGCCAAGCTGCCCCAGCCGCAGCCCACCTCCAAGACTTGATCTCCGGCCACCAGGTCCAGCGAGTCCAGCAGCCGGTCCAGCTTCCTCACCACGACCGACCGACCGCGCGTCCAAAGCACCGCAAGTATCTTCAGAAGCTTAAAGCAACTGAAAATGTGGGGAAAACTGTCATGAGACCCTTTTTTGCGGATGAGTTGTGCTGAAACTCACGGTTTCCGCTTGCCTCACCTTGCCTCACCCAGGAGCAAGTCAAAACTGTCAAGCAAGGCTCTTCTGCTGAGCCAGCTCCAGAAAGTCGGCTTCGGTCGGACTGGGCGTTGGACACTTGGACTTCATGGTGTAGACTTCCTCGTCATACAAACCTGAAGAATAGGTCATGTCCTTGCTCAAAAACAGCTTGAACATGTCGTTGGACAAGTCATAATGAGCCTGAATGTTCTTCTGCGAGCCGGTGATGCTGTTTTCCCTGGTGGCATGAAGCATGGCCATGTACTTCTTCGCCAAGGAGGAGACCAACTTCAAGGGCGACCATGCCATGGGGGAGCTCTTGTCATCTTTTGGCTTGTTGTCCAAGACCAAGTACAGCAAGCTGGTGATGTCCGGGCGGATTTCTACATCCCCTGCCTCATAAGCATCTGACAAGGCCATGCCCGGGTCCAGAAGGCTCTGCCAAAGAAAGCTCTCGCTGCGGATTCGCATCTCAATGGCATCGCCTTCTCCATCGCCAATGAGACTCTCCTCAGGGCTGTGGTTGAAATGGAATCCACGCATCTGGGATACAGCAACAAGGCGTCTTTGAACTTCCCATGGATAAACCCCTTGTGATCCCACAATCCCACAACCCTGCTCCTCGCCATCCCCAAAAACGACCCGAAGATTGCCCTTGGAGATCATCTTGGACATGCCGGGGTACAGCACCCACTTCCAGAACTTCTTCGCTGGCCACGACAAGGAGCCCAGGGGCCGCCTTCCAGCTGGCCAAGCGGCCATGTCCATACCCATGGCCTCACACACGGCCCGCGCACTTCGCATGCCGTCCTCGTGGAAGCCGTTGCCACACCAGGCGCCGCAGAAGAAGATGCCGCCGTTGCCAAGGCCTTGGAGTTTCGGCAAGGCTTGCTGAACCATCAACGCACTCTGGTCCAGGAGCGGATGCCCAAGGACGTATTTTGCCAGCACCTTCTCTTTCTCCAAAGATCCATCCGGAGGGTTCAAAGTGACAAAGATGTCGGAGCCCTCCGCGCATGCCCCTGGCTGCAATCGGTTTATCCAATAGGTCACCACGGCAGGAGCACCTGGCAGGTTCAATCCATTCCACGCACTCCAGCAGCCCTTCTCTTTGGGCATGAACTTCGGGTCGGTGTGCACGTACACATCGTTGCTCGAATATCTGAAGTGATCAATGGTGCGGCCGCAAAGATCTTTGTCCTGCTTGCCCAAGTTTGATCGCGCAAGGATTTGGCTGGCATCGTCAGCATGTACCGCCAGGACAACTCGATCGAAGACCGGATTCTCCGGGCACACCAGCTGCCCGGTGCTAGTGACAACCTTCACCCCCTCGCCAAGCTCCAACTTTGCCACCTCCGTGGTGCCTTACAAAAAACGTGTGGTTCTGCCTGCAAAACACAGTGACAACGTTGCTCTCGCGCAAAGGTGCTCCCCTGTTCAGAAGCTTCCCTACATTTGCTCACATCCGGGAAACCTGCCACTCCGCCCTGCGCAAAATGGCTATGGCTCAGAAAAGTTTGCCCAAATGGCACCTTGGAAAATGGAACCAAAGCCCAAAACCTGCGATTTGCCCGAGCTCTTCAATTTTGAGCCACACCCACATTGAGCTGAGTCGCACACGCGGCTACCGGATTCCTCCAGGGCCTGGTGCAGCTTTGCCACATAGTCCTCGGAGCGGTTTTTGAGGGTGCGCCACTTGGGCCGCGCCCGCTGCAGCAGGAAGTGGTTGTCCATGAAGCCCAGCACGAAGCACGCCGGGAAGGACGTGATCTGAACATGCGCCATGTCTTAGGATATAATACTTACCCCTTAAAACTCCAAGCCAAAAAGTTGAAAAGTTGTGTTTGTTAAGAGGTAAGAATAGAACATATTGAATTTGATTCATTTGATGTGCGGCTGTGCATCTCTCAGTCAGTCCGTCTGTGTGTTTGTGTCTGTGTGTGTGCTTGTTTGTTAGTCTCTGTGTGCGTGTGTCCGTCTCTTTCTGTTGCGCAAAGGCCTCTCGGCTTGAGGAGACCCGACCCTTCCTCTCCACTAGTTGTCTGAGACTCCTTTGGTCGAAATATGCCTAGCGTCTTCACAAAACTACCCTGGACTTGCAAAGTTCTCTTGCAGTGCCTCCTCCATGGAACAGCTCCAAATTGCTGCGCCCACCGGCGCGATATACTCCTCCGACAGCTGGCGACTGAAGCCCTGTGCCTGGAATCACTGAAAGAGAGAGAGAGAGAGAGACAGAAAAAAAAGAGAGAGAGAGAGAGAGAAAAAGAGAGAGAGAGAGAGAGAGAGAGAGAGAGAGAGAGAGAGAGAGAGAGTGAGAGAGAAAGAAAGAGAGCAGGGCCATCCCACAGGGCATCATCCAAACTGTCAAGTGGCGTCAGGTCCTCTTTTTCTTGCTCTGCACCCATGAATCAGCTTGATGTTTCTTCAGCACTTCAGAAGGAGGGCTCTCCACATGCCTTCCTTCGCCATTGCCACTGCCCCATGGCCCCTCCGCCCATTTTGGGGCACGGGGCACGAGCCCTGCCTGGCCTCCAGCCAGGCCTTCAGCGTCTGGTCCCCGAGGCTCTGCTGGGCCAGGGCTTTCCGCGCAGCACGCTCGAAGGACAGGATCTCCATCAGACGCCTGGCGGCGTCTAGCGCCAACTTCTGGGGGACCGGGGACCAGGTTTTCTGGTCGGCATCTCTCGGCTTGCGACGGATTCAACAGCCTGATGGCTCGCAAAGGCAAACTGAAAACCACACTTGTGTTATATGTCTGCAAGGGATGTTCACAAACATCTGCTCCCTCTGATGAGCCAACAATATATATATATATATATATATCCTTACCTTACTCTAACCTTTTCATACTGAAGCGACAGAACTCATCGAACTGTGTCTAGCTGGTGGCCATGGCCTACAAACCCCAAACGGAGTTTACGCCTCCAGCTCCGAGGGTTCAACATGTCCGCCCAGGTAGGGAATGGCGACCTTGAGGACCACTCGAAGTCCTCGAGGCCCTCTACACCCCTGGCAGCGATGGACAAGGACATGTCTGACTGGACGGTTTCGACCTTCAGCTCATCAAAGAGCTTAGAGAGCAGCGGATAGTTGCTCAAGTTGAAGACCTGAAAGCCAATATCCACCCGCTGCTTCTCGGTGGCTGCGATGGTGTGAGCATGACCACCCGGGCGCTCGTCCCTCTCACAAAGGACCACCTCGCAATGGTTCCGGAGCATGTAGGCAGTGGCATTGCCGGCGATGCCCGAGCCCACCACGCAAACTCTCTGCCTCTTGCCCTGGGCCTCCTCTTGGGAAGATGTTGCCTTCGGCTTGGTTGCCACGTGGTCTTCCGCTTCATGATGCCCGTTGCTCATGGCAACCCCCGTGGTCTTCTGCTGACCTGACTCCGAATGACACCCATTCGGGACCGAGACATGTGAGTCCGCTGCCTTCGGGGCCAAGACAGTGGCTGCAGGCCCCGAGAGGTGCTTCAGGTGAGAGCCGATCCCAGCCATGTAGCCATCAAACTGCTGCATCTGCACGCCATACCTCTTGCACACATCTTCAAGCAAAGGTCGAAGGGCCGGTAAGTGGCTATGGTCCACTGTGGGGAAGCAATGGTGCACTGTCTGCAAGTTCAAGCCACCCGACATGAACCAATGAAAGCGCGAACGGACAGACCAGTCAACGCTGTGGGCAATTTGATGCTTGTACCAGTCCTCTGACACCGGATCTTTGGCCTCGCCGTTGGTGCTGTGATTTAGGTGCGCCAACTGAGTGTTCAGCATAAAGAGACATGAAAAGACGGCCGCCGGGTAGGCGGCCCAAAGGACTCCTGACAGCCCGTAGCGCCAGACGGGCAAGACGTAGAGGACCAAACGCTGCAGAACCAGGGACAGCAATGAGGCCAAGGTGGCATCTGGTGGTCTGCCCATTACATCCTGGGCCGATGCACCGAGCTTGGAACTGAGATAACGATAAGAGTACAGCACCTGCAATCCCAGAGGTACCGCAATGGCCCACACAACTGGCAGAATTCTCAGTGGCCACTTGCCCTGGACCCATCGCCTTACATGCTTGGCATCCGGATCTGCGTCCTCGATGTTTGTCCATACGTGGTGAAGAGCCACATGCTGCCAATACCACTCATGTGGTGCACCCACCAGGAAGGACGAGAAGGTCAGGGCTTCGTTGAGCCAGGCCCTTGTGGAGAGAGCTCCATGTGATGCATCATGAGCAACGTGGAAGGTGACCAGCGAGCCGAGCCAAGGAAGCGCAAGCAACGCGCTCCAGGAGCCCTTCAACCACTTCATCAAACACATGGCATACGCTGCCCAAAAGAGTATTATGAGCGCCCACTTCCACAAGGGGGCTTTGGTGGCCTGGCGAAAGCTCACGCCAGTCTGAGACGCTTTCTTCTCAAAGTAGGAACGAGCAGCCTCGCGCAAATCGAGCGCAAAGGCGGAGTCGGTTTGCGCAAAGTTCTCGAAGCCATCTGGCAGCTGGCTGGCCAGCAATGGAAAATTGTCGATGTGGCCGACAGAACACCTCTTCAGCCAATGGTTCATAAGCTCCTGGAAAGGCATGCATCTCAACGCCTACAACGAGCTTATGAAACAAGAAACCATTGGTCCCTAACTTCAAACTCTGGTTGCTCCAAGGGACGTAGCGGTCGCAAGAAACCATTGCTCCATTAATGACCCGGTTGCTGCAACACTTCACACTCTCCCTAACTTGCTGACAGCGTCTCTCCTTCCGGGATAGGGCGTGGGTTGACTTGTAGAGCATCGTGGCATCGCGGCCCTCTGCAAGTTTCAAGACCGCTTCGCCTCCGGGATGCCCGAGCTCCGAAAGGGCTGCAAGATCGATGACCTGGCGTGTCAAGGCCCAAAGTAGGTTCCGCGAGGCAGTTGTTCAGAGCTTGACAGGCCGTTCGGGAAGCTAGTTGAAGTCTAGATGTATGTGATATTGGGAAACCCTTGAAAACATTGAGATACATTGTGTGCATGAAGATAACATTCAGCAATAATACAGAAAGAAGAAGAAGAAGAAGAAGAAGAAGAAACATGAGGACAACAACAATAGTAGGTGAACTCGTAATACGTAATAACATGGCAGCCTTTCTAATGATAGTAGTTATAGCAATGATGATAATACTAGTCATATATCTGGTTGATAACACCACACCAACTTTAACCATGATGATAACGATGACAATGATACTCATTAAACTCATGATAGTCAAAATGCTGAGAACAATGATAATAATCAACATGATAACAATCATTGATATCCCCCAGAAATCACTCTGTTGCCACTAAAGAAATGAGTTGATATTCATGAATAAGGGAATGACCACTCATGGTTTGGGTGTGTAACAATTAGGGTCTGTTTCGGTCAGGCCTGCTGAAGCCATGGAACACCAACGAACAGCTGAAGCTGCGAAACACCAACCGGCGCCATGAGCCAAGACACGAAAAAACACTCGAGAAAAACCAACGAAAACACTTGATAGGGTTGAGCCTTGGAAACACGGGGCCCGTGGCGTGGCCGGAAAGAGGCGCAGTGCCAAAAGCAAAGGAGACGTTGCTTCTCACAAAGTCTGAAAGCAAAGGAGACGTTGCTTCCGGCAAAGCCCGAGGAAGTGATTTTCTCTCAGGCCTCAGAATCAATAACGCTCCACCTCTTTGGCGTCGCTGTGTCCTCTCTGAGAAGAGACGCTCCAGACCGGTTTCTCACGCCTCTTGTGGCCTATTCAGCAACGCCTCCGTGGCTTCAGACGAGAAAAGACTTGGAATATTGAGCTCTGGTTGTGATAAATGATGGCTGGTCAAGCTCTGCACTCTTTCATTGCCAACGTTTCATGTTGACAGCTAGTCCTTCTCTTTCTTGTCAGCACGGCCGAAGAGTAGTCGGTAAGCATCTCGGGGTCCAAAGAAGAAGCCTCCACCGCGTATTGCTTCCTGCGTTGTTCTCTGCGGCATCAATTCAAGCAATCAACTCCGACAAAATCAGGGTTTCTGAGCGGAACCACCCAACAGTAGCCCTGCACATGTTGCTCGAATGCGGGGATCCAAGAGTGACAGAACTCAGCGACTGTCTCCAGCCTCGTAGATGGGCTTCACATGCAGCAGATCATGGAAAAGCGACATGAGCCCACTCAGCTCTGCTCCTGCTGCAAAGTCCAGCTTGAGCCAAAGGGTCGAAGATTTCACGTGGCAGCTGTGGAGACTCGGCAGTCTGGCTGAACATCTCGCTGTTCAGCATGCATAGGGCCATGGGTCAAAAGCCAGTACCCCCAGTGAACATCCCATCCCAATCCCCACTAAAACAGACTAAAATGGGTGGTGCACCTACCCCAAAATGGTACCATTGGTTTTGACCCACCGCCATATCAGAAAGTTCAACAACCACTTCTGTTCTTCACTTCAGCTGCTCGACTGTCGAAAAACAGCCCGCCCGTCTCGGGCACACTGCGATTCTAACGACGTTCTCACTTCCCTCAGACCAGGGGCTAGCGGCTAGCGCCAATCACAGGCAACTCGCATACGGCTGAATTGTGGCTCAAACCCAAACATTCCAAATTACGGCTTCCCCACTGTCCCCAATTTGTTCTTCGAAACATGTCTTGAAGCCTTCTTTGCCGCACTCTGTGCCAAGCATGCGGCCTCAAGCACCAGTATTCCTCACCGCCGCCTTGAACAAGCGGATGCTCCCTAGTCTTGCCCCCTGAGGGCGTTGCGCACACAGAGCAGAACAAAAATGACCGTCTTCCAGCTGACCCAAGCTACAATATGTCTGGCTGAGTGCTGAGAGAACATGTATCAATGTTGGACATCGAAAGGTCGAGTGTGCAGAAGCGCTCATGCTAATTCGGCGCGGCTTTTTTGTCAGATCACTCCTCAGAGTGTTCTCCACCCCCTAAGATAATGGACTGCTGCCTTAATGCGGCTGCAGCACAGTGGCATTAGCACTACCTTTGACTACTTGTTGATGCAGCACCAGAACAACCTCAAAATGGAAAAATGAACTTGGTCCATTGAACGTGACAAGTGACATTCAACAGCAGTGAACAGTTGTTGTTAAGCTCTCCAAAACCTGCTTTGGTGGCCACATCCATTTTGTGGGCCCGACGCCAGCAACATTGGCTCCGTGGGGCCACAACTTTGTACAGCCGGAAGCTCGGGAAGGCGCTAAACAGTAGTAAGGACTAGAAGGCTTCTTTCATGGATTGCGTGCTCCTAGATGACGTTGCCCTTGCTCCCCGCAGTGAAGCTGTCATTGTCAGCGGTTAGTTGTCTGGCTGGCTGACTGACGGACTGACTGACCGGCTGATTGATTTGCTTGCTTGACTGGTTGGTTGGTTGGTTGGTTGGTTGGTTGGTTGGTCAATTGGTTGGTCAATTGGTTGATCTACTTCCTTTCGATGCGGGCGGATCTTGGATTTGCAGTCAGCTTTGCGAGTCGTCTGGCGTCTTGGCTTTTTGCTTGGCTACGTGTGTATATGTTTGTTTGCCACATGTGCACATGTGCACCTGTGTAATTAGTTGTCCTCTTTTCTTACTGCTGCTATGGGCCTTCGTTTGCCACTGGCCGACAGTTGGATGAAAAGTGGTGAAGGGCGTGTCATGATACGCTGTGAGAGCAGAGCTGTGGGAAATGGAATCCACTTCTGCAATCCAACCAAAAAGGGGGCTTGGCAAAGACTAACCCCGCACGGGGAGATTCCCGGAGACATCACAGGAACCTTATTTCATACCGCTGGTGGATCCAGGGGATCCGCATGAGGCTACCAGGTGAGCATAGCTGGGGATTTGCACCCCGAAAAATCCCAACCCTAGGTATTATAGGGCCATGGGTCAAAACCCCGTACCCCCAGTGAACGTCCCAATCCCCACTTTTCATAGACTAAAATGGGTGAATTCACCTACCCCAAGATGGTATCTCATTGGTTTTGAACCAAAACCCTAGAGGCTCGACGCCAAGCCTTGCCAAGCTCCCGGAAAAATACGCGGCTCGCTCTCAGCCCGATCTCCGCTTCAGCTCCGCGCGCAAGCGGGTGACCTGCGCGAAGAGATCTGCTTGGATTGGTCTCGTCACAGGCCTCCACTCTGCGATCGCTGCGAGAAGTAGGGAATGAGAATTGGAATGAACCCAGGCGTTGGTCCCCGAAGAAAGGAACCACCAGTTGGATTTGTTGTTGTTTTTTCGGAGTCATTCCTTCATTCCCTACTTATCGCACCAGCAAGATAAAGATTTGTTCAAAGGAAAACCTGGGAAACCGAATTGAAACACTTATGGTCCTGGTCTGCCAGACCGGCCTCTGCATGCAAGCGCTGCCTCTGCGCATCAAGCTCCCCCACCTGCACAACGCTGCTCCCCAATGCATGCTAGTCACCTCAAATCTAAGCGCAGGCAGGGATGTTGCATTAGCCTTGGCATACCGCTCATTCTCCTGCTGCTTCAGGGAGAGGGAAGAAGGACTCCTTTGTGCACACTGTCCGCACCAAGGCACGTCAAGTAAGTGCTTTGCAAAATCAATTCCGTCCATAGCTCATTGAGAATGATTGGAGGAAGACGCGCTCAGATGGCGCGCAAGACCATAGACATCCTAGTTCAAGCAACCTCCATAAACGAAAAGCAACGAGAAAGGTACACTAGTAAGGCCAGGCGCGCAGCCGCATCGCTGCCTGGCAATGGAGGAAGAGAACGGCTAAGCCAATATGGATGTACATTGCGCATCCGCACAGGCCTACGGCCAGTGGCGAACTTCGATGATACTTTTGAAGCGCCTGCACAAAGCAAAAAACTATCCTAAGCACAAACCGAGTGGATGTATCAAACGATTAGGGACCCTTTTGGGAGGGTTTCAAGAGGAGCGCGCCAAAAGGAGACTCACCATATTTTGGGTCCTTCTTTTTGGGACCCAAATCGTGTCCAGTTGATCACAGAGCTTGGATCCGACTGCCTCGAGTTCGGCAGTGCTCTTGTTGAGTTTGATCTGGCCGCTTTCGAGCAAAGATTCCAGGCGGCTCACCTTGCCAACGGAACTGGGGCTGGAACAAAGTGCACTCGTGGTGCTTTGGATTCTTTCAATATTGCACATGACACAACCACCAAACGTTCTATATCACAGGAGCATGCGGCATGACATACGACAATTGAGGAAGTTGTGAAACTCTGCGGACAACATGTGAACAAATGCAAACAAATTGCCACCAACGCGACACAGATTCAGAATTGACACTTTGGACACGCTCATATCAAGACCGGTCCTGGCTCCAATCTTGCTCGGCTAAGCGCTGCTGTGACGCAACCTACATGCAGCGACAAGTATAATCGACCGCGTGTTGCTTCTGGAGCTGCCTCTGCCATGGTCTGTTGCAAGGCTACTTCAATCTGGTGGCGCCTGCACAGGGGAAATTCAAGCGATCAAGCGCCAGTGACTCCTAGTGAGGAAATGTGGAGAAATGCAACACGGGATGCTGCTGAGGCAACGCATGCACGCAACGCATGCCTGAGCCGCAGCGATGCAACTGCCTGCGCTTGGGCCGCCTCGGTTCTGAGCTGTTCGACTTCGAGAAGCGCAACTTTGCTTGCCCTATTTTGATCTGCTTGCGCAATCGCGCACGGAAACCTTCGACGCATGGTTGCTTTTGGTTGCGATGGCTGCGACATATTGGGTGATGCTTTCACGCGTGGCTGATGGCTAGGCATGATGTTTTCACGCATGGCTAGGCATGAACGTCGTTTCTTGCCAGCTGCCCAGCTTGCCCACGCCTGGCCCGGGAGTAAGAACGGAGATCAAAGGAAGCCTCTACATCAAATAGCCCTTGGCAGGGGCCAAACATGTTTTTTGAAAGCAGCAATTCATGAAGCGTCTAAAGGGAACGCTGTCCTTCCCTGTCAGAAACACCTTCCTAGAAACTTCGTCTGCGAACAGGGCCACCGCCCGAACAACACTTGGGCCAAGCCATGAAGGAAGCAGCACAGCAACCAAACTGTACCCACCACGGTCGTTTCTGGCGCCCCCCCTCCGACCTTCGCCATAGTGCAACTTGTAGACCGCGTGCAAGCACTACCCTCGGCGCCCTTTTGCCCGTGGCTCCCGCGGATGTCCAGCCAGCGCGCCACAGCAGCGCCCGTCCGCAGCGCTTAAGTTGCGACCGCCTGGCACTTTGGATTGGGGCACGGTTTACTGCGCAAACCGTTATGCACGCGAAGCAGCGCGGACGAAGGCTTTGGCGCGGCTGGTGACTCAACGGGCGCCCCGCGCCGGGCCATCTTCAGCCACCGTGGCGGGCAGGACTGCGACACGCTTCACTTGCCACTCCTTAGGCGCAGAGACCCGTGAGAAAACTTAACGCTTGCAGGCGAGTTCAGGCTTCGGCGGGAAGGTCGAGTCAAGTCTGTTCAGCTGTCACAGGCAACAATGGGTTGAGCAAACCACTCTTTCCACGACCGCTGGGTGACAGAGAACACCCTGCGGTGCATTGATATTTACGCGACGGCCGGGCTTCGCGGTCACGGAAACAACCACGAGTCGTCAGTCACGCAGGCGGGCAGAATCTCGCAGATGTGTGCTTCCACGCGCCAGTTTCTGAGTTCTGCTCAGAAATCACGCGCCCTGTCTCCCACTCGCCCTCTTAGCCCTCCCCGGGCTCTGCAGGGCGACTCTTCAAGACCACCTGGTCTTGAGCCAAAATGGCTGCGGAAGGGAAACCTCTACATCAGCCCCTGGTCGAGGCGGGCAGCGCGAAGCGCTTGCAAGTATGATGTACAGTGTTGCTCAATATGACATTATGGCCCAGTCTGGCGTTCCGTGTTGATTCATGCGTCACAATGACATGTCAAATGTTACTTTTGAAGCTGGAGATGCTGAAAGTAAAGCCCAAACAGCAAATTGGTTTGTCTCAAAATAGCAGACCCTCAAAACTGGCAGTTTCCCTTGGGAGTCCCTTTAAACCAACCAAACAAGGCCAAATCCATTGAGTGCTCATCAGAAGAGGTGCTGAGGCCGAGTCCTCGCTCTGGTCGGCACCCTCCGCCGCCTTTGCCGCCGCCGCCACGTCCCCCTGCGTCGATTCCGACTCTCGGCAAGAGCTGGGTGTGGCTCAAAAGTAAACAGGAGGGGCAAACCGCAGGTTTTGGTTCATGTTTCCACTTACCAGGGCAAGCCATTTTGGTACCGGCTTTTGAGCCACAGCCAGCTGCGAACCCCGGGATGCCCACCTGAAGCCGGGCATCCTCCTCCAAGGCCTGCATGTGCCGTCCCGAAGTTACCCCGTGGCCAGGGTACCAAAGAAATGGCCATGGGTCAAAAGCCAAAATTCCCTACCCCCAGTGAACATCAGCCAATCCAACCACTAAAATAGGTTCTAAACTGGGTGGTGAATTCTCCTACCAACCAAAATGAGATCCCATTGGTTTTGACCCACAGCCAAATTGCGGCAGGAAGTCCTCACGAGATTCAAGGAGTTCCAGGTACCAAGCCTTCTGCTGCGACTCCTCACTCATCGCGACGCGCTGCGCGATGTCTGCAATCTGCTCCTGAAAAGCCCCTTCAGACTCGACCAGTGCAATCACCAAATTGAACTTCAACGAGGGCCTGCATCAGGGAGATGTCAACCTGGTATTCCTCCTCCCGGCTGTGCCAGGACTCCTGCAGAGTTTCCAATTATCCACAGCCCGCACCCAGTTCCCGCTGGTTCCAAGCTGTGTGCAACCAGGCGAAACTGGGCGCCATTGATCACAACTACACAAGTGCAACAAGCGTGCAGGCGATAGTGGCGCAAGCGCAGCCCTGTCCGCTCACACTGGAAGAAAAAAGACCACACGGCCATGGCATAAAAGTTCATGACATTGCCGCAACTATGCGCAACCAGGGGAAACTGGGCACGATTGAGCACAGGCTCAACTACGCAGGTGCAACTAAGCGCAGGCGGTAGCGGTGCAAGCGCAGCCCAGTCCGCTCACACGGAAGAAAAAAGACCACACAGCCATGGCATAAAAGTTCATGACATTGACGCAACTATGAGCAACCAGCGGAATCTAATTGAGCGCAGGCACAACTACGCAGGTGCAACTAAGCGGAGGCGGTAGCAGTGCAAGCGCAGCCCAGTCCGCTCACACAGAAGAAAAAAGACCACACGGCCATGGCATAAAAGTTGGTGACATTGGCGCAACTATGCGCAACCAGCGGAAACTAAACTTTACAATTGAGCACAGGCACGAGTCATCGTTCATACTCCACATGCGCGTCGTGTCCCCTGCTCTCCTGCGCTCCCTGGATCCGCTGCAGCTGAGCCACCAACTCGCCTATCCATGTGCCACACATTTGGCTCTGGGTCAAAACCGGGATTTCATTTTGGGGTAGGTGGCTCCGGGCCTGCCGCACGGCGAGCCGTTTCCTTGTGGTTGCTAAGCCGGGAGATCGCCACCTGCACTTTGCGCTGCAAAGATCCAATCGCTGCACAGCTGACAGGCCTCCTGCTGCCTGGTTTGCAGACAGATTTGCTCGCGAAGTCTGGCCTTAGCATAGAATGCAATGGAATTGTCTCGCGTCGCGGTCATCTGTACACAGGAAATGTTGGATTGGGTCACACATACAAATAAACTAGAGGACGATTGGCCCGAAAGCATTTTTCCCCAAGCGCTTCCCATCATGTGCTTTTCCAGCCGCGGAGACGCCCTTTTACATCGATGCAACAGCTTCTGCAAAGCAGGCTCGTGCAACTGGCTCTATGTAACTTGACTCTATGCAACTTGGCTCTGTGCAACTTGGCTCTGTGTCACTTGGCTTTGTGCCACTTGGCTCTGTGCCACTTGGCTCTGTGCAACTTGGCTCTGTGCAACTTGGCTCTGTGCAACTTGGCCCTATGTAACTTGGCTCTGTGCAACTTGGCTCTGTACAACTTGGCTCTGTACAACTTGGCTCTATGCAACTTGGCTCTATGTAACTTGGCTCTATGTAACTTGGCTCAATGGTAACTTGGCTCTATGGTAACTTGGCTCTATGGTAACTTGGCTCTATGGTAACTTGGCTCTATGGTAACTTGGCTCTATGGTAACTTGGCTCTATGTAACTTGGCTCTGTGCAACTTGGCTCTATGTAACTTGGCTCTATGTAACTTGGCTCAATGGTAACTTGGCTCTAACCTAACTGGGCTCTATGGTAACTTGGCTCTATGGTAACTTGGCTCTATGGTAACTTGGCTCTATGGTAACTTGGGCTCTATGCAACTTGGCTCTATGTAACTTGGCTTGGCTATGGTAACTTGGCTCTATGGTAACTTGGCTCTATGGTAACTTGGCTCTATGGTAACTTGGCTCTATGGTAACTTGGCTCTATGGTAACTTGGCTCTATGTAACTTGGCTCTGTGCAACTTGGCTTGGCTGTAACTTGGCTCTAAACTTGGCTCTATGTAACTTGGCTCTGTGCCACTCGGCTCTGTGCAACTTGGCTCCGTGCAACTTGGCTCCGTGTTCTGGTCACAAAAATCGCTATGTTGTGAAAGCGTATGTTTCTGCAAAGCAGGCTCGTGTACTTAGCTCTGCGCAAGATGGCTCTGCGCAGCTTGACTCTGTGCAAGTTGGTCTGTGCAAGTTGCTCTGCGCAAGTGCTTTGTGCAAGTGCTCTGTGCAATTCGCAGAGCGCAAGTTGCTCTGCGCAAGTGCTGCCGGAGCTGTGGGAATGTACTTTGCGTACTATTTTTGTACTTAAAAGTTGCGATTTTCCAGCCGGAGCTGCGGGAGCACGCTCCGCATACTACGTCTGTACTTAAAAGTTGCGATTTTCCAGCCGGAGCTGCAGGAGCACGCTCCGCATATTACTACGTCTGTACTTAAAAGTTGCGATTTTCCAGCCGCAGCTGCCGCGGACCAGGGGGGAATCGAACCCGCGACCGCGGGATTGCGAAAGCAGGCGCGCGAGCCACGAGACAACTTCCAAAGGCCATTTCGCGAGCAACAAATTCGCACGGCGCCACAGCGAGAGCGCTTCGACACGCGCGATCCCCGCAGAGGGTCGCGCGCGGCTTGCAGAAATCGTAAAAAGTCCTCAGTTTTTGAACCTCGACCACGCGAATCTCCGCAGAGGGTCGCGCGCGCATCGTAAAAAGTCCTCAGTTTTTGAACCTCGACCACGCGAATCTCCGCAGAGGGTCGCGCCTCGCGCGAATCTCCGCAGAGGGTCGCGCGCGCAATCGTAAAACGTCCTCGGTTTTTGAACCTCGACCAAACGAATCTCCGCAGAGGGTCGCGCGCGCACCGCAGAAATCGTAAAAAGTCCTCAGTTTTTGAACCTCGACCACGCGAATCTCCGCAGAGGGTCGCGCGCGGCATGCAGAAATCGTAAAAAGTCCTCAGTTTTTGAACCTCGACCACGCGAATCTCCGCAGAGGGTCGCAATCCCGAGCGATGATCAAACTCCCGCCCCGGCGCCTTAGAAACCTAAACTAACTTACATAGCTGCTTACGCCGAAGCTCTACGCAAGCTCTACCTAACCTTGGCTCTGTGCCACCTGGCTCTGTGTAACTTGGCTCTATGTAACTTGGCTCTATGTAACTTGGCTCTATGTAACTTGGCTCTATGTAACTTGGCTCTATGTAACTTGGCTCTATGTAACTTGGCTCTATGTAACTTGGCTCTATGTAACTTGGCTCTATGTAACTTGGCTCTATGTAACTTGGCTCTAAAACTTGGCTCTATGTAACTTGGCTCTATGTAACTTGGCTCTATGTAACTTGGCTCTATGTAACTTGGCTCTATGTAACTTGGCTCTATGTAACTTGGCTCTATGTAACTTGGCTCTATGTAACTTGGCTCTATGTAACTTGGCTCTATGTAACTTGGCTCTATGTAACTTGGCTCTATGTAACTTGGCTCTATGTAACTTGGCTCTATGTAACTTGGCTCTATGTAACTTGGCTCTATGTAACTTGGCTCTATGTAACTTGGCTCTATGTAACTTGGCTCTATGTAACTTGGCTCTATGTAACTTGGCTCTATGTAACTTGGCTCTATGTAACTTGGCTCTATGTAACTTGGCTCTATGTAACTTGGCTCTATGTAACTTGGCTCTATGTAACTTGGCTCTATGTAACTTGGCTCTATGTAACTTGGCTCTGTGTAACTTGTCCAAGGGCTCCGCACGGAAGAACCCTTCGCGATGCTTTCGGGAAACAAATACATATATATATATATATATATGAATATATATATATATATATATTATACATTGCCACTATGCCAAGTTGGAGCTGTCGAGTTGAGAGGCGGACCACGTCAACTCTTTCCAACTCCAAGGCGTGCAGCTGCTCAGCGGACTCTTCCTCTCACAGCGAGCTGAGTCACTTGCTCGACCTCACCCCAAATGGTGGTTTATATGGGGAATGGCCCTGCAACCACCTTATTTTAGGTTGGTGAAATGGCCGTGGGTCAAAAATAGGGTAACCCCAAACTGGCTTGCCCTGGTAAATGGAAACTTGGACTACAACCTGCGGTCCCCTTGTGATTTAACTTTGACCCACACCCCAATGGTCGACCCAGAACCATGTAAAGAATGAAGAAGGCGGCCGCAGCTATTTATGGTTGGGATTCCTTGCTAACCTTGATCTGCCCGGGTTTGATTGTGGCTCAACTGCACTCTTTGAGTCAGCCTGCCTGCTGCTCAAACTTCTTGCGCGCCTCTGCTGTCCGAGCAGTCACCTCATTTCCCCGGAAAAGCTGTGATGTCGAGTGCTCAACTTCGCGAGTTTTGTCACGCAGGCAGTCCAGAAGCCGCGGCTTGGCAAATTCTATTTTACTCGCCATTGAAGAGCGCATCCAAATCCATCGGAGTCGTTGCTTTGTCTGCTTGCAGCAAACAACCTAGGCTACAAACCAACTCAACAAACTACATATCTCAAAAGCACATGGTGGCTTTTCAACATTAGGGCCCCTTTTGGTGTCCTGTCTAAAAGGCGGCAGGTATCGGCTTTACCGTCCAAAAGCGGTCATTGACAACCCCCCACATGGAAGCCAAGCAAAGTAGTTCATGTAGTTCAATGCCAAGCAGCGCCGCATCTCTTCATCTTGGTTCCGAGCCGCCAGTGCCAATGCTGTTGCTCCAGAGCTTGCCTCCAGCTCCACCTTCGCCTTCGCCTTCACAAGTTGCCTTAGCTCTAGGCACAGCCACATGATGGTTCTGTAGCACAAAGAGACCTGCGGATTGCTGGTAAAAAGGCAAGCCGCCCTCGCAAGGCGCGGGTTCAAATTACGTACTGCGAACACTGCGAACCTCGATCTTGGCAAAGCTCCGTTTGTCAGACAGGCTTTACCTTACTGGGTGTGTCTTGGTTCAGGGGACTCACTACAATGGCGTCGGTGTCCTTTTGCGTTCCCTTTGAAACCCACGAAAAAGGGTACCAACTCAAAAAAGACACCCCCGATCCGTCTGCAACTTGGAGACTTGGCGATGTTGTGGTGGCCTGATTGGGCGGCAAACATCAGCGCGGTGCCACCGTCATCTCTCAGCTGATTCACATCCGCTTTGCCATCCTTGGCTTGACTGTTGAGCCATGTGGGTGCGTCTCAAAACAGGGGACCCCCCAAAATAGGTTGTTTTTCTTGTGGTTTCCATTAAAACCAACCAAGAAAAGGGTAGAAAAGACACAGTCATGTATCGACAGGGGCGCAGGAACCAGATCTGATCGGTTCCAAAAAAGGCAGCCAAGAACTGGAACTGCATACAGGCTGCTATCAGCAGCGACACCACCTCGCTGTGGCCGGCCTGCCAAAAAAGGCAAACGCGATGGCAAAGCGCCGCCATGCACAAGTGCAATGTTGACGTTGACATTGTGTGAGCCTGCGATGCCATCATAAGGGCCGTAATGCCCTGGCTGCGTGCCAAATCCACCGATGCTTTCCTTGCCAAAAGCAGCTCCACCAACTCCTGGGCTGGCAATGCAAGAAGACCGCACCTAGATTCAGTTCTGACAGCGTCGTGATGGTTAATTCATGTTGTTGCTAGTTTCAGGCACCAAACGTGTTGTCCAACTATCGGCAAACTCAACTTCAATGAGCAAACCTGCTGCAAGCATATTGCTCCGCCGAGAGCCAACACAACTACCATCAACTGCGCCAAGACTCGCCAAAGCCCTGCTGAGAAGCTTGTATGAGTGCCGAGGCATTCATGCGTTGGGGGACTCTGTGATCCACCCGCGCGCCGGCATCAAGCAAGACCTCCGCAACATCTGTCATGCCTCAGGGGTGCGCTTTCCCGAGAACTGTTTCAGATTGGGATGTTTGCGGGGCTCCCGCCCAGCTGTGCTGCCAACAATAGAGGGGTCGCATCATTGGCTGCCACCTTGCGATCAAAAGAGACTAAATGATATTGACTGCCAAATGCACTTTAGCCAGGCTGCCCAGTTTACATCTGCACGGAGCTCTAGCAAAAGGCTCACCATTGGCAAATGCCCCTCCTCAACCAGTGCACGCTTTCTGATCTCACTGGAAAGCGCAAAAAAAAAAGAAGGCCGGCCAGGTCCTGCAGCGCAGCAAACAAGGAAGTTGCGTTCATAGCGCCTGCCTGGGCGAGTCACATGCAAACACTCATAATGCAGAGAAGGGGGCGCCACTTGCATGCAAGGCACATGGTTGACATCCGCCCCGGCCTTGCAGGGCAAGCTTTCAGCACGTCCTGTGTTCGCTAGCCACAGATTTGTGTTAGCCTCAAACACTGGCTGGTCAAACTGCGAGCCACGTCTTTATTTCATCAAACACTACTCCTGAGTACAGACTCACTGTTTGCTATGAAACAGTATGTTTCACCCCAGCTTCGCCAGTTACACGAGACTGACGAGAAAGCAACCGCCCGGGGGACCACGCCTCCACCAGGATCCGCGCAGCCTCCACTTGGCCTCCTTCCGCCGCGGCGAAGAGCGCTGTGGCTCCAGCCTCGACGCACTCGACGCGTGCGGTGCGCGCAGCGCGCGCGATGCGACGCTCCCCGCGCGGCGACGCGCCCTGGGTTCCGAAAGGATCTCAACGCGTCTCTGGAATCAAGAAGGCTCCAGCCTTGTTGACGGCTCCCAGGTTGCAGCCAGCACTTATCAGCCTCACGGCGCGAGACGCCCACGCGCCCACAGCTTGCGGGAAAAACGTTTTTCCCGTTGGATCAAAAGCGAAGGCTCCATGGCTCCCCCAAAAAGCCACGGGTGCCATGCTCCCCAGACAACAAGGTCAATGCTTCAGTGAGCCGGACAAATTGCGCTCCAAGGAGCCGAGCCAAGATATTGCTGTGGCCCAAATACGAAGCAGCGAGGCTCGCAGTGACCCCATTCCTCGCCCGGCAAAGTTGACTGAGGGCAACACAGCCTCAATTCAAAAACAAAAGAAACGGTGGCTTAGAAACAGGGCCAACCGCTGCCGCAACATTTGGCCATGGGTCAAAAGTGGTCAAGCACTTGCGCGTTCTTTCCCTGAGAAAGAAATCCAGGTCTGCTTCCGTGGAATACTTTTGGCCAACCCTCACAAGCTGAAATCAGTCTCAGCTGAAGCTCGAATTGGGAGCATCTACGTCGGCATCTGTATCCAGGAGGGTCTGTAGCAACTGCCCGTCCCCTCGCAAAGCTGCTGCCACCAATGCCTGCGTCTGAAAGCAAAGTGTGAGCCAAGGAGTGACGCATGATTTCTATTCTCCAAAAGCTAACAGCCAGAATCGCACGAAGCACAGTGCTCTCAGATTGGCTCAGATCTGAGTCGGCTGCTGTTTGGCCATAGCTGTCTGGAATACTGGCTTCTGCCCCTTGGCCGCTCCACTCACACACTGTGATGGAGGAAAATAAGCTAAGCAACGCAACATGAAAATATATGGCATGTTCTGCCAGCTGTGTTGGGCCTTTTTCGTTTTGTGGGCACCAAAGGAAATCAAACTGGTCCATGCGGCTGTGGGTGAGAAGCACAGCAAACAGCAATCAGTTTCCCTTATTTTGCCTGCAATCGGTTCTCCCTTCGAAGATCCAGCGACCGATTTTGAGCGACCCAATTCTGCAAAGCCCAGCTTTGGACTTTGAGACCAGCCGCCTCCTTCCAAGAGCTCCAGGATCTCCTCTGCCTGCACAGCATCCCAGCAAAAAACACGGTGAGTAGATATTAGCAAGGGCCTTCCCATAAGCCACCGCCGCAACGAGCGAATCAACTTGCGGATTGGCATTGGTAGCCACACGCCTAGCCAGACAGGGTTTGCCAATTTGCTCGAACCCAGTGTGGCAAGCCTGGAATTGACCAAGTGCTGGTCTCTGGCGAAAGACTGAGCAAATGTCCTAGCAAAATGTCGGCTCAACTTGCCAGGCAACCTTCAGTACTTCAGTGTCCAACCAAGTCTTTGTCTAATGCCCACTTGCTGTGGGAGACCTTGCAGTCAAGGAAGAACATGCCAAAATCGCCTCACAGTGACAGCTGGAAACGCGAGAAGGAACAAACTTGGCTCAAATAAATGGAATCCCCAAAATGCCACCTTGGTAAATGGAACCAAAGACTGAAACCGCGGAACCCTAGCCACAGCCAGTCAGGGCGCTGCATACGCCAGTCCCCTGCGAGCCCATCTCCAGCGAGGTGCCGCCATGGCTCTCGCTTTTCGCATCTACCGGAGCTGCGTCTCCCAACAGGGGGGCAAGTTTGGGCAGTGAGCCCCATGTACCAGTGGCGATCTCGTGTTTTGGCTACTCCGGTTCCGCCGCAATCGTCCACACTCAAGCGCCGCCTCACTCGGCACGCGAGCGCCCAAGCACCCGGCACTCAGCGCCAGCTTGCGGGACTCTTCATGCAGGTCCTGGTTTTCCTGATCAGGGTGTGGCTCAAAATTCCAGAATAGGGCAAACCGCAGGTTTGAGTCTTTGGTTCTATTTACCAAGGTGCCATTGCGGTACATTAATTTGAGCCGCAGCCAGGCCCCAAGGGGTCTCTGACTCTTAACACTGCACCCAACCCCGGCCCAAAACGGCTCAGTCCCCTGGATACTGCGGATGGACGAAGTCCTGCACCACCTAAGAAACCCTGGAAGGATGATTCCCCTGGCAATACCCACAAACCATGCTTTCCCATGGTTTCAAAGCGGTGCGAAACGGATTTCGTCCATCCACAGCAAACCGCGGCCTTCACCATGTGCTGCAGGTCCTCGAGCACGTGGGACACCTGACATCGATCCATCGATCCCCGTGCCCAGAGCTGCAAGGGAACCCCGTAAGGAAACACGCAAAAATGACCAGCTTCACACTACTGCTGGGTCAAAATCCATGGATTCCACGAGTTTGCTTTTTGTTTTTTGTTTCTAACCGCCAAGTTTCTCAGAAAGCCCTGAAAACTATGGAGGCTTGGGTTTCTTACATTGCCCACTTGCTTGAGAACTGACTCCTAATCAAAGCTGGCGCTAAAGGAATCTAGACAAACTGTCAAGATTCAGGAGCAGCCGCACCCGTTTACGGTTGGAACTGTACCCTTCTAGGCGTTAATTTGGCACTCGGTTTTGAATTCGGCTCAAGTCAAACCTTTCCGATGCAATCCCCCACGGTCCTCGCTTTGGGGTGGCAAGTTCTGAGATCCCGGCCTCTGTGCTGCGCTCTCGAACATCCACACGCAAGGCTTGCGACTGATGCCGCAGCGCTTCTAGATGCTCCTGCCTCTCGTCTCACGCCATGTGAACAACTGTTTTTCCACGGACATACAGGAACGAATGGGAATGAGTCAATCCCCCTGCTCGTGGAAATTCCGAATACTTCCGCGTGACTATGCTCCGGATAAAGTGACCCGCGCCTGTCTGTCTTCATCAGACGTTGCTGGTCCAGGTGATGCTGCCTCATGCTCACCAGAGCCAAAGCGGACAGCTCTAGAACGCTCTTTGGCTCCTGACTGGCCATCAGCGCTTGAGCGGAGGTCATCCAGAGCCTGCGGCTCGTTGGGGCAGGTGCTTGCGCATCACCGAGGCATGCTCCAGCGCGTCTTTTGGTCATGACCATATGACACGGCCATCCATCGGCGCAAAGAACTTGCAGATCACTTGAGTCGCAATCAAAACCTGGTAACCCAGAACCATGTAAAGATTTAGAAAGGCGGCCGCAACTACTTCCGGCTGGGACGACTGCCCCTTGCTACCCTGCATCTACCCGGGTTGTGAGGGCGTGGCTCACTTGTTTTCCGCCCACGCTCCTGCTGAGCTTCCTGAAGCGACTGCTGGTGGTCTCGGATGGCATTCTGCAGGTCGTCCACTTCTTGTGCCTGGGGATCTTGGCGCTCGAATCCGCAGCCTTCGTTTCAGGTCTTGCCCGCATCTGGAACTAAGCGGAAGACAAACACCATCTTTCACTTCGTGGCTGACCCACATGGGTTCCTTCTTGAATGGGTTTTCCTACGTCTGATCTTGGTACATGCGTGCGGGACCCTGTGGAGAAAGCTCGTCCTGCACTGGTTTCAACAGGGCTGCACCTGTTGCGCAAGTCCTGGCCTGTTCTAGAAAGGCTACAATTTGGGGAACCGAGCGAGTGTGACCAAGTCCTTGCTTGGGAAATAGTTGGGATCATAGGTGTCCTTTTTGGGGAAATTGATGGCCCTGGTAGATGATTAAACCACCAGGTAAACCCGGGCCATCTATTCTTAGAACTAGCAAATCAACCAAAAAGGACACCGATGGTTGGGACACATCTGCTCATTGGATCATATGCTTCACTTGAGGAGCGGGTGAACGAAAGCTAGCAGTTGTTGCATGAGATGGGTCGGTGACAGAGTGGATTCATAGGTAGCTTGTGTACAACGAGAGGCCCGGCAAGATTCGTAGGATGCGACACGCAAACGCACATGGTGGCGTGGCAAACCTTGAAAAATGAAAACAATGAGAGGCGTCAGAAGCTGTCTTAAAGCACCTCTGGGTTCTGCATGCTGCGTGTGCAAAGATTCTTGCGAGGTGGTTTACCGAGAAGACTGAGGTCTCAAATGAACAAGCTGAATCGGTGGAACATGTAAAAGTTCGTAGCACCAAGTCCAAAACGGGCAAACCGAGACTGCTGAACACTGAGCCACTGCCCGGGGGGGGGGGGATGGACCAGGGAGGAATCGAGCCTGAGACCGGGGGGGGGCGGGGTCTAAATAATTGATGTTTTTCAATCTTTTCGGCTCAAATAATTGAAAAAATCAATCTTTCGGCATTTGAGCCCCTTACCTTGCTTACGCAAGGAGAAACTTCAGCTAGCTAAAGCTAGCTTTCGTGATCTGCTGCAAGGGCTGCAGCTGACCACTCAGCTCGCGCCAAGGCGTTGGCTCTGTCGTCTGCCAGACGCTGCGTGATGTCCCTTTCCTCGTCCAGGATGGCTGCAGCCTGGCATAAATCCAAGAACATGCTGCATCGCTGTTATGGTTGAACGAAGTTCAACGCATTTAACCATGCAACCATGACAACAATGGCGGAAAGCCTCTTGGATTCGGGCAAAACACATAGAGTGGATCACTGATCCTGCATGAGTTTCCCATTCCCACCGCGCTGTCACCAACAAGCTAACAAGCTGGTAGGCGTGACAGCGAAGAGCGCTAGTGTTCTCATGACTCCACACCCATGGAAGTTGCTTCCATTTCAGAGCCCGCAAAGCCAAAGCCAAAGCTGCCTTTCTCAAGAGATCCAGCTCTGAAGCAGCTGCTCGCTGTTCGTCACCCCAGCCTGTCACATTGCTCCGGGTCCAAACTCTACCAGCGATCGGGGGCTGATCGCGGCTCTTTAAGCCTTCATATTTGTCTGGTCAATCAAACGAACTACAGCTGTCCCCACGATTCCCAACCTGCCAAATCCCTCGATCATGGCACATCACATACATGCGTGCGAATGCAGGGATGTAAGTTCAGCATGCCTGCAGCTGCGTGGTGCCTCGCAAATTGCAATGCAACAGGCTTGAGGCAAACTACACATCAACTATTCCACAGCTCTCCAAAAAGCACTAAAACATCATAGTTCGTATACAAAATTTGCTCCTCGCACCATTGAGTCCTTGCCAAGGCTGTAGCTCGGACATCTCCATCTCGCTGAGACCATGCTGACCTGGGCCACATCATTTTGGGGTCGCGAATGCTAGGAACTTGTTTTGGCAGAATGTCCTCCCAGCGAGGCAGCGCAAGGCAGCGTGAGCTAGACTTTGCATTCCCGTTTTTTAGACAAGTTGTCCTTGCATGCGTGGCAAATGTCTGGCGAGAGAGTGCGTGTCCGTTTGAAGCTCTGTATTGGAGAAGTAAACTTTGCGAGTTGCGGAAGCGCCACGGAAGCTCTTTTGCCTGCTTTGCTCATCGACCTATAAGTCAGCTTGCGGACGTGTTTTTTTGTGGAAGCTCCCCAGTACGCAACGCGGGCCATGTGACCCCATCCACTCTGCTAGCATGCTTGAGCATATAATGGCTTTTCTGGATTGCGGAAGTGCCACGGAATTTTTCTGGTGACAATTCTCCGGAGAAGTAGCTTAGAACAGCCAACCTTTGGGTTGGGCTTCAAACCAGGGGCCCAACAAATGCAGATTTCAGCCATGTTTCTCTGAAGCCACTGGGATTTAGGGCCACTTTATTGAGAGCATGCTGCTTTGCGCTGCCTGAGGCGCTTGCATCTTGCAAACTCGCTCTCCAGTTGATCATGTGCCGACTCTTCGATGGAGGCACTTGCCAGCATTTCCTCACACACTGTGTGGCTTGTCGTAACGGCGCACACAGCATTGGCCTGTCTCAAAACGGGAAGCCCTCCAGTCATGGTGGGGCTTTAAAGGAGGGCAATCAGTTGATGGGAGTCTGATTTCCAGGCAGCAACATGGTGAGAATTTGACTGCCTCTGCATGTCTGTGAATGCATGTGTGCATGCGTGCATGTGTGCATGTATGCGGGTGTCTGTGCATCCTGGTGCTGAGTGCCGGTGTCCTGAATGTCCGCCTGCAGCTGCCAGCACTTCGAGGAGACAGCTTCCGACATCGCCTGGCAAAAAATCACAAGGCGTGAAAGGAGAACGGAGCGAAGGTCCGCTGGAGATTCAGGGCAACAAGGAAAGTCACCAATGGCAGTGGCTCACAAAAATTGCATTTTGGTGTATGGAAAATTTCCTCAAAACCGCGTAACCCCGGCTGCTTAATTTTGAGCCACACCCACCAAAATGGAGTCCCAACTGGGCCGAAGCAAGTGGAACGCCTCGGCTGAAGCAAGCTCTCCTTCGCAAACTTTCTCCAGCGCCTGCGTTTGCTTCAAAAACGGCTGGCAAAGAGTCTAAATCAAGCATGGCCAACTGAGACCATGAAACACTTGACATATTCTATAGAAAAAGAAAGCTGTGCACCCCTTGGAAGCCAGCGCAGTGCATAGTACATCTCCAACTGCGAAAAGTATGCAAAATGTAAATGTGAATCTCCAAGCAGGAAAACAAGCTTTGCAACCAAGCTACGCAAGATCCTTCAAAGCCAAGCTGTTGAAGATTGGCTGCCTCGCTTAGAGTGGCCTGCCAACGCAAGACCGCAAGGCGACACATGAACTCGGTGTAGATGTTGCGGCTCTCTGCGGCAAAACTCTACCAACAAATCGACCGCCTTGGAGATTACAGATGCCGTCCGGGTCTCTACACGTGCCAGTCTCTCCTGGTTCAACGCCCCTAGACTTGTCTTCCTTCTGCTTATGCCAATGTCAATCAAGAAGTGGTGAATACATCAGGATCATTCAGTCAAGTGTAAAAAAAGTCCTCGAGCTGCCACACTTCTTGGTGACATTGATCCAGAGACTCTGCCTTGAACGATCAAGTTTCAGCAACCACATGCAATTCTCCTCAGCCAAGCTGCGTCAGGAGGATCAGGCGCCCTGCGCTTTTTAACACGCCCAATGCTAGAAAGTTCCAAAAACACAGCAGCCTGCTTGGTGCACTGAACCTGTGAAAAGGACCCCTCAGCAGCGGCCTCTCAGGAGTCCATGTACCAGAGAGCTGCAACTGGCAGAAACTCGCGGGCAAGCACGACTCATCTCCCGGCTTGTTGCCCGAAAAAACCTCTGCATCCTTCAGGACAATCTTAAGCACACACGCCGACAACATAGTGTCCTTCGTGTCATGACCTCTCGCCCGCTTTTGCACGAAAATGATCGCATGCTGATGCCAACGATCACACGGTGCGTTCGACTCATTGCACCTCCCGGAGCTCCTCCACAAGCCGAGCAGCCATCGATCGCGCCTTCGATGATGGGATGGGGTCCCTAGATCGGCGGTCGGATATTCATTATTTGTTCTTGGATCAATTGTGAAAGCTGAGTTTGCAGGTTCCTTCGTGGTTTGACCCAACTTGTTGAAAAGCGGCATCGCCACGGGCCGCGATGTGTGACGTCACATTCAGCGGCCAGCGGCCAGATCTGAGCCTGCCGCCTCATCGCGGCGAAGGAGGTCGGAGTGGAGTTCTTGGCCCCATTCCTGCACCTGAAGCTACAAATGATTTCCATGTCTGCTTCTCAAGTGACTACTGAAAACAAAACAAACAAGCAAAAATACGAGGTTGAACGGGGTGGTTGAAAATTGGCCGACCTTTCCATCCACACCCTTGTTTGCTTGAAGTCATCTCTCTTGGGAACACAACCCCCACGGCCGCCCCCGGCAACAATTTTTGTCGCCTCTGCCGAGAGCTCGTCCCTCTGCGTAGAGGCCACCTGGATGCTCCTCTGCACTTGAAAGGCCTCTTGCCTGGCAGTGCGGGGGAACATTGTTCCATGGAATGCAGTCGCCAGGGTTCGATTTTTGGACAACTCCAAAGTGGACTGAAAAAACGCAGGGGTTGATTTCCCCAAAGGGGAAACCCGGTTTAATTCTAGTAGTCAAAAAGTGGAACCCTGGCAGTAGCCTCAGCTTGTCAGAGGTCGCTTGGGCGAACTCCTGAGGCATTGGAAACCCAAAACACGAGCAAGATATGGGCATACTCGATGCATGGCGATTCCACGATGTGTCCTCCTGCTGCAGGGTAGCCGTCAGCGAGGCGTGGGACTGTCGCAAGGAGTCCACGGCCTTAGCGGCCGAAACCCGAGCTGACGTTTGGCTCGAACAAAATGGTAAGGCTTCGGGATTGCTGTAATCCCGAGTTACAGCCAGGTAGTAGAACCTATTGAAATGGCCAACGGGGGTTTGGGGCACTCATTCGCTGAGGCCCAGACTTTGCCAAGGTCAGCCAGCCACTCCTCTCGTGTGCCGTCCTCACACTTGAGGCAAACCTTTATGCTCTGGAATTGATTGCACCTGGTTATTTGGGTCTCTCTTCCTTTTAACCCCACCCCCCCACCCCCGCCCAAAAACAAGAAAATGGCCTTCCTTCTGGTTTCCCTTGAACACCACAAAAAAGGGGCGATCCTCAAAAAAAGACACACCCATTTACCCCACTGTGAATCCCAGGGCCCCGGACCAGCGAGCGAACAACGGCGTGTAGCCTTTGCACCTCGCGATGAAAGCGGAAGGGCTGCTTGACAAATGTTATCTCTGCATGCCCTTCAAAGCATTAGGCAAAGCTGTGGCAAGCAGTTTCCAGCATGGATGCTCAATGCCTCTGCATGGAGCTGAACCCGCTGCATGCTCTCTTGCTGAAGAAAAGTCTGCTGCTCCTGCAGAACAGCACCAATCCTGCAGTACGAATTCGCAAGTACATCTCCTGCAGGTAGGTCGCAAGCTTCTTCTGTTCGTCCGTGATCCCTGACCTTTGACCATCTCCCACACGTCCAACTCACAACAAAACAGAACGAGTGAGTGGCCAAATTCCCAATCCAAGTGCTTGACAAAGAAGCATTCAGCCACTGCAGGTGTGTGTCAGCACCGTGCCACCTGCAAGTCTCCAGTTGGCAGCCATTGACAACCAGGACGTGTCAATGATTCAACCATGGAGACTTGCTGGTTTGGTGGCCTTCAAACAACCACACTTGCCGGATTCTGATGCCATATCTCACGGCTCATGGCACGGCACCTGCTTTGGATGTCTGCATCATTGCGGATGTCCTCAGGCTGCGCTGGAGGCGCAGGTTTTTAAAATCACACATGGGCACTGGGGATACCCCTTTGTGGGATGGAACCAACAGAAACTCAACCACTTCCAGGGGTCAGCGAGGAAACACACGGGTCCCATGGGCTGCAGTCCGTACCCTTCCCTTTCTGGCCATCTGTGAGGTGAAAAAGGTCTCGCGACCTGCAGGCTTCTGCGGACGCAACGGGGCAGATACTCGTGGCGCTGTGAAACTTAATGCTGCGAAACTGAAAAACCGTGCAGCAACTCAAGAGACCAATTCAAGAGACGAAGGCATCCTATAAGTCGGTACACCGCGTTGAACCAGCGATCATGATGCCCGAACTCCTCATTCTATGAGTATTCCTTCAAGTGCTTGCAGAAGCTCTTTGTTGTCAGCTCCAATGTCACAATCAATAAATCGGACATATGCACCGTGGCGCTTCGTGCACTTCGAACCCATTCGCGAACCCAGGCGACAGCTGCATCATCCAATTCAACCGGGGGCCACCGCATCCTCTGAGTCCCATCAGCGATGCATCGTCGAAAGATCAGATGTTCCAAGCTCACGAGTCGTGCAAAGCCTCGGCCAGGAAAAGCACGAGTTGGCTCCGGCAAAGTACTCTGCAGATGATTCAGCACCGGGTCTGCTGATTGAAGATCTGCTCTTGCAGTTCAACCACAATCTCTGCATCCGAACGGTGGGCGAACTTTAACAGCAGGCAACCAAGTTGTTCCTGCCTTCCTTGCTCCACCCTCTGTTGCAAAGTGGTTAGGGTCATAGGGGCAAAGCCCGCTAGATGCCCTGTGGTGGCTATCCATTGAGTTTCTGCCACACACCACCCCCTCTCGCGGTACTTCTTGTCATTGAGCTTTAGTTTGCTGAAAGGTTGTGGTCAAAACTTGCCTGCGCCTGGCTCTGCCTTCGCTTCCTCAAAATAAACATCAATGATGGCTGGAGACCTCTTCTCATCTTCATGAGGAAGCTCTTCCACACGTACTGCCTCGTCAATGGTAGAGTGAGATTACAGCACGTGCATTGATGCCATAGCTCTTTGGAAGAGCATCTGTTCTTGCTCAGTGTTGTAGTATTGGGGCAAACAAATGGGTATGAGTCGAAATAAACCCACCAGGGGACCGCAGGTTTTAGTCCTTCTTTCCATTCACCAGGGTTCCATTTGGGTACCTATTTTTGACCCACAGCCAAATAACGTCCACGAAGATCCAAATGTCCGACCCGCTGAAAAGTTCATCATCCCACATCTCCTTATCTGACAAAAGCTTCAGCAAAGATCGCGCTTGGCTCCCGTAAGGGTCAGGGTGCTGCTGGGCCTCCCAACAATGTGACACTGACAAAATGTTGGGATAGTCAAGTTGCCGTTGTGTCAAGCGCTCGAGAGTGTACTCCTCAAGTTCCACCAGGGCTGTCTTCTGCACACCCCGGTCATCCACAAACGTCTCACGTTATGCTTCTTGGCGACGTGGCCACAGTCTGTTCCCTTCCACAAGCTTCCACAAGACTTTCACCCTCACCAAGCGGATGTTGGCATCGACGAGGACATCCAGCAAATGCCGAGGATTTGCCAAATCATGACTCCTTCGCTTCTCCTGCCATGTTGCTGCCAAGTCTGGTCTCTCTGAATTGAGCTGCCTGGTTGAGCCACAACATATTCTGGAGCCAAAAGTCAGAGTGTCGATCAAATGATACATTTGAAACCATCACAAGCCAATATGGCAAAAAAGGTGCAAGCAATCCATCTTCAGAAGCAAAAGCAAAGCCGCAATGCCCGTCACCCAGCCAGACAAAACACGCTGCAAGGTCCCTAAAGCAGAACGCCAAAGGCATGCAATACCCAAGCTCTCGACTCCCTCCAGCGCTTGCGTTTGCTTTGTCAACTGCCTGTCGCGTCTCGGGCTCTGGAATGCGACATGACGCTTGCCAGGGCCTCGCTTGAGTCTCTGCTTCCAGCATCGCCGATTGCACCTGCACACGGCTGTGGGTCAAAAATAGGGCAACCCCAACATGGCTTGCCCTGGTAAATGGAAACATGGACTATAACCTGCGGTTTTCTGGCGGTTTCATTTTGACCCATGCCCACAGGATCAGTCGATCGTCGATCCAGTCTTTGACTCCAAAGGAGCTCCACTCAAACCCAATGCAACAAAGCCTCTTCTTGCAGCGCAGATCTAGAAGTACTCAAAGCACTGCTTTCGTCCTCTCGAAGTCTTGGCAACCACCGGCGCCCGATGGTCTGAAAAGTGTGCTTGCAATGGTTTCCTTGGTGTTCGTATCTACCTACAACTGCTGACCCAGTCATTGCTGTGGAGGTCAAGAGCAGACTGCGAAAAGCGCTGATAAAAGGATGATTCATCGACTTGCGACGGTGGCCAATGAGCTTGAATCAGGCGTTTCATAAATTCGGCTGAAGTCTGGCATTCTCAACTCAAGTTGCTCCAACGCAGCAGCTTGACATACAAGATGGTGTAAGCCGAGACTATGTCTTTGGGCTCCGCTCCTCTGCTCTGTGCAAGCGTTCTTCAATCTGTTTCAGCTGCGAAGTCAGCGGAGATTGCTGATGGCCTGAGACTTTGATGTGCTCTGCGGAAAGAACCCTTAAAACGAAAAGTCTTCCTGGGGCCCCCAAAAGCGATCACACTGCCAAGGAACGCAAAGGGTGAGTGCTTAGCCCTATGCCATCAAGGTGTAACAAGCATTGCGAACTTGTGAAATCTACTCATCGTAAGGCACAAACCTTCCTGCAGCAAAACCAGCTTGTCCAAGAGCTCCTGCATGACAGGCTCCAGTTGCTCGAATCATTTGTGCGTCGCTTTACTCCTTGACCTGGCGCGACTGCTCTGTCGTCTTCAGCACCTGCCGGCTTCAGCACTTTTACAGATGGCTGCGGGTCAAAAATTGGGTAACCCCAAAATGGAGCCCTGGTAAGTGGCAACATGGACCAAAACCTGCGGCCCCATTCCTGGCGGCTTCATCGACACTTCAACTGGCTGCAACTCAGGTGAAAGATTGAGCTCCTGCATGCGACGCGCATGATCCGTTTGAGGGTGCCAGCCTCTTCTCTTGAGATCTGGGCTAGCCGTGCATTCAGTATCTTCGTGGAGCCTTGCCACGTGACAACTCTGTTCATAGACAAGTTGCTGCATGCTGGAAGCAATGAGCCAGCCTTCTATGCGCCTGCACATTTGCTGCAAAGATTCTGAGCGCTCCTCAATTCTGGCACAAAAACGCGCCGGTTTCAGCTCCCAAATTTGATGCGAACATGCCGCACACTCAAGACATCTTGCAAGCTTGGGCAATCACCTGCATTTCAGTGTGCAAGCGCTTCTGGATGTCAGCTTGAGCTCTGCTGTTCTCCAACCTAAGAAAGGCTGGTTTTCACCAAATGGCTATGGGTCAAAACCCCATACGCCCAGTGAACATCCCAATCCCCACTAAAATAGACTGAAATGGGTGGTGCACCTACCTGAAAATGGTACCATTGGTGTTGACCCACGGCCAAATGGCGCTGGCATGCTGGGCTCCTCACACTTCTGTTGTCTTGGCAGATTCCTGCAGACGGGCTCAAACCAGAGCTTCCGCCAGAATTGAGTTATGGGGGCGGGCGTGCCACTCAGATTCAGCAACTTGTTTCGGGACCCTGATGGTCATTTGTCGTTTATCTTGAAGGTAGTGGGCCTCCAGATCACCAACAGCAACTTTGCGGTGCCAGTGTTGCATGCAAAACACACGTTGGTACTCCAGCTGCTAAAATTGCAGCTTTGCATTGCAAGTCTAGTAAGCGAAACGCATCTTGCCAGCTCCAGCTCAAAATCGGAACTGGTCAGTAGCAGTGTCGTGTGCGAAATGTGTTTTGATCGCTTGTAGCTTTTCAGCGAGTCAAGCGCAGTACACAGAAATCGCAGTACGCAAAGTAACCTACTTGACAGTTGCAAATTGAAACAGGAAGCTTGACATGAGTTTTGCGCGGCAGCAGTGGCCCGGAAGGGGGACATGAAGCGAGTCTCGAGCCTAGGCGGAGTCTACGAACACGGATTGAAACATGGTTCTCATAGGTGTCCTTTTAGGGGAAATAGAGGCCCTGGTGGATGATTAAACCACCAGGTAAACCAGGGCCATCTATTTTTCTACCAAAACAACTAAAAAGGACACCTATGATGGTTCTTGAATATCCGACCCGAGCTCGAGGAGCTATACGTAACTCGCACAAGCTATCATGCAGCAGCTCTCCCCGATGCAGCCTAAACGGGGCACAAGTTGTCTCACATGACATGCTCCCAAACAATGAAACTTTAAATGCATGTTGAAATTAGAGCCCTGTGCAAAGCCTCTGCAATGTACCCTTGCACCTACCAACACAAGCCTACGCGAGCCCACCCCCCCAGCAGAATGCCTCCGGAGAGACAAGCCAGTGTCTGTCCAATGGTTATCGTTGCTTCAGCCCTTCATTAAAACAAAAAAAAAACTTTGGAGCATTGGGATACCAAGTATCCGCCTGCGTGGGGGATTCTCGGATTTGACTTGCTCGCATTCCCAGCAGGGAGCAAAGGCACGACATGATGAGTAAAACCGGGTTGAGGCTTGGGAAACATCCCCTGCAACATCGCAGTTTGAAGTCAGTGATTGGGCCGTATACAAGAGGCTCACGATCATGTTTGGTCATAACGTTTGAAAGTTGAAACTTACAGGTTGTCGCACACTAGCTTGAGGACCTTCAAGTCATCCCCAACATTCCTGGACTCTTTGAGCCATCCATTTCCAGCATCCCCAGTGTCGATGCATATTATGTGGGTGCCAAAGGGTTGGGTCCGACATATCTGGAGTTGTGTGCGTCAATTAAACTCTGGCCAAGCGGTGCATACAAATTGAGGTTGGGTGGTTGGTTGTCCTGCGTTGCTTGGGAATCGGGCGGCAAGAGTTGTCACATCCAAAACCACCGTGAATTTTGGGCGCGCAAATGGTGCAGCATGTTGGCAATTCACATCAGCCCAAGCTGCATTACAATGGCGATTTCAATGGCACAAAGCTTTGCTGCTGCCCGAGCCAACCAAGCATGAGCACGCGCCTCGTCAACCGAAACTAACAAAGCCTTCGCCTCGCTCTTCAACTCCTTGCGAAGTTGGCAGAAAGCTGCACCACCAGATGTGGAGTCTTGCCATAGCCCGGGGCTTGACACCAAATATAATGCTTTGTTAAAACCATGATATCATCATAAAGGCAAGAGTCAGAAAGGCAAAGCAGGAAAGTCACAAATTTGCACAATCACTCAGAAAAGGCCGCAAGCAAGAAAACCCCAAGACAAACCAAAAGGAGAAGCTTGCAAAGCAAAAGCAATAAGCCTGACACTGGGAAGAGAGAATCGGAGAGCAAAGCGTTCGCCCACCCCTGAACCCCTGTCCGTGTTGCGGTGCTCTAGGGCCTTCTGCCATCCTTCCACAGCTGCCAGACGGCTCTCCAGCTCAGCATGCTGCTGCGACATCTCCTGAACAGTCGCTCTCTCTCCCAGTCGCACAACATTCCGAAGCATCCAACCTGTGGGTCAACGGGGTTGCCGTACTTCGAACGACGGCTTGGTCAAGCGATATCCGTCCAAGATTCATGATGACGCCTAGCCGCAAAACCAACGTTTTTGAACACATGTTGTTGCGATACAAAGAAGCCAAGGTCTTGAACGTGCGGCGAGTGCTGGCCATGGTGTGATTTTGGTCCGCTGCTCATGTGACCGTCACGAAACTAACCCCGCCACCGAACCCCTCCCCCCAGCCCCCCGCCCTCCCCGCACGTCATCGAGCACCAGGTCAAAACAATGGAAAACACACAGAGACCAACAAGTTGACGCAACAAGTTGTTACTTTGGGACTCCTTCAGCTTGACGCCAAAGGCGGCACTGCACCAAGCATGCTCCAAGCAGCACGCTTCACATTTGACGGGTCTGCATCCAACTCTCAGAGCCTCCCCCCCCCGCCCGCCTGCACGTCTGCTCGGCTGCGCTCCAAGGATTGCGTTCTGCCCGCCTGCAGGGCTCTTTGTCGAAGCTGTGGACAGGGCTTGAAGAGCTGGTCGCAAAGGTCAGCTGCCTGCCAGGCTTGGGGTGCCAGGAAAAAAGAACAAACGCAGGCTGCCCGAAAACGAACAGCCGAACCAGCAAACAAAACAATGAAACACAGGGCACAGGCACTGCCATGCCAAACCGAGCACAAACAGAAGAAGAAAAAAAAGAACAGAAATGCCACGGAAAATGTGCCGCCAATTTCTCCAGCCTGGCTCTCCATGTCTTCCCCGCGCCGCCGTGCCGCTGCGGCTTGGGCCTCCAGTTGCACCAGCCGCGCTTGGCAGCGGCCCAAAGCCTCGGAGAGCGCCAGCTCCTGCGGCTCGTCGTCCCGCGGCATCAAGGCCGCGCGGCGAGGAGCCTCGCAAAGGGAAAGCTTCAGATTCTTAACACGTGCCTTCTAAACCTTTCCTGACAGCCTGAACTACTTCGTTGGTGCGATAGGGAATGTGGGAATGTGGGAATGAACCAGCTTTTTGAGTGGCCAGAGGCCAGAAGTGACCGCCTTTGATCGGCTCCTCCTAAACTAACTGCTGCCATGGGTAGGAAATGAGAATCGGAATGAACCCAGGCTCTGGTCCCAGAGGAACCACCAGTTGGATGGTGTATAAGGGTCATTCCATTTCTCATTCCCTGCTGGGCACCGGGGAGATAAACAGAGTAAAGATGATGGCGTGGTTGCCCAGCGATTCGACACCAGTGTTCACATGGCAAATACTTTCTTAGCGTAGGCAAAAGCTGAAGCCAAGTTGGATTTCGGCAAGCCTTGAAGGCCTGTTCTGATTGCCCGACGAAGAAAACACCTGCGATCCTCTGCACGAAGGTGCACCCCACCAACCATCCTTCAGGTGAACTGCTGAGGAGCAACGATGTCTCAAGTGCAAAATCATGATGTTGGGCGTGTGTTTCTAAAGATGGGAGTCCTGACAAGTAAGCTGACATTTGGAAAACAAAAGCCCAAAAGTGAGCATCCCAGGGCCATAAGAATCCCAAAGCCATGGAGCAACAAGAACTATTTTGTGGCCAATTATCTGCCCGAAAGGGCGAGAGTGAGTCTTCCTGGCATCTGTTTCGGACCATTCCAAAAGATCCATAACGCGACTGTGGCTGAAATTCCAGAAATGTTGCTGGTATAAGGAACCAGTGCAGTTGAACCCGGCCCCCACTGTCAACTGTTCCGAGAAAGATACATCCAGAACTTCTCACTCTTACATGGTGAAGCTTAAACTGACCAGCTCTCTCGACTCTCCCCCTCTTCGGATGGCCGTCTCTCGCAGGTCGCATCTGCCCGTCCCCCTTGTCCCCCCGTCCCCCCGTCACGCCCCACCATGGCCTCACAGGGCTCCTCTGCGTCCGCCAACCCGGCAGCATCCAGCGCCAGCAGCTGCGCCTGCTGCAACCGGCGCTCAGACTGGCAGTTGTGACGCACCTGTCGGGTGTTTGGCCTGCGCAACTTAGGTGCGAAGCGCTTGAAGGGTGGTTCAGCATCTCCCCACTACAGGCTTACGCCTCAGCTGGCAAGCTTTGTAGGGCCAATTGGGAATTCAGCCAACTGTTTGCCCTTCAAAGGCCCGTAATAGAAAACGGGCTGCGTGTGGTTCATAGAGGCCCAAGTTCACATTGTTCCCATACCAATTTGCACCCCGCACAGCAAGGTCAAATATGTTAAAACTGCTTGGTATTCAGAGAAAATTGGCTTGGCTCGAAACAGTCTCTGAACATGCGTCTCTTTCCCCACTGGTGAGTTGCGCTGTAAAACTGCTTTGTTGATTTATCGCAAAGCAAACAAAATAATGAGCATGTCAACATCCAAGACAATGATAATGATAAAGACCGCTATGGTCCTGAGACCCTGACCCCTACACCCATGGCAAGCCAACGCCTAGCCAATGCCAACTCTAAACCTCAACCACTCCGAAACCTAACCCAACCAACCCCAACCCCACCCTACATCTGCTTCTGAAGCGCATCTTTCACATCCTGTCAAGGCATCTGGCATCCCCAGTCTGGCCAGAAACCTGAGTTCAAAGGCTGATTGTGTAGGTCCATATATGAACCCTTGGTCGTGTTGGACCCGTTGGATGCTGATTTCCCACAATTAAGCCATAAGTAACGAATAGCTAATCCATAGACTAGGGCTTCATACCAGGGGTTCATATATGGACGCATACCATCAGCCTTCGATGTGTAATTGAGGGGGGGGGGTAACATATGTGCATATATGTACATATATATATATATATATATATATGTGGTACCCCTCCCATGGACCCTAGTTTGGTGAGCTTGAGCTGTGTTTGTCCAGTGTTTTATGCCTTTTTTGCCTCGCTGATTTTGTGGCAAAAAAAGGGAGGGGGGCATATATATATATATATATGTATTTTATATATCCATATACATACTTACGTAATGTGAGTAAAGATAGCAACATCTGCTATCTGACAGGGTCTGCATCCATCTCATAGTATTGGGACAACGCTGTAGTTTTTATTCAAACAATGGGATTCAAGATTCAAGAATCTGAGAAGATTCTTTTTGGGAATCTTGAATCTTGAATCCCACAGTGAAAAAAACAGGGTTGTCCCAATACTCCCCTCGGAAAAGCTTTTCGTGAAATATTTAAATCTCGAATCTTCACTCCAGTGGTAAAATACGTTCGAGGTTTTAGAACAACTTGAAAGTTTTAGGGGTTGACCAGGATGGATGATTCTCAGGAAAGTTGTTGCTTGTGCAATCCTCAATATTGAATCCTTAACATAGTGGTAAAGCACTTTCAAGTCTTAGAAGAACTTGAATGTTGTTTGAGTTTGGCCGGGATTGACAATTCTCAGGAAAGTTTTCTGTGTAATCTTCAATCTTGAATCTTCCACCCAGTGGTAAAATACTTTCAAGTGCTTGGCGATCCAGTGGGAACACTTTCAAGTTAGTTAGACAAACTTTCAAGTGCTTTTGGCGAGCGGTTTGCTTCATGTCAGCTATGCTCATGTTGACCCTTTTCCAGGAGGCAAACAAAGGTAGGTGCAATGCTCAAAAACACTGCATTCTTACAGCATCTTATGAAGCAGCGCAGGATCATGAGGGGTACTCTCTCTATATATATATCGGTGTGTGTGTATGTATGTGTATATATACACATACTATATATATACACACAAATGTATGTATGTTCAAACACCGTCACCCCCCCCCCCCCCGCCCCCTCTTGAATTACCTGTCCACATTTGCTCATCTACCACCTCCGCTTTTTGAGATAGAATGAGTTTTGTTCTCCTGTGCAAATGGAACTTTACATACAACTGATCTAGCTAAAATCCCTGCTTCGAGATAGTTTTAGAACTTCGTTTGAAATTTCCTTTTGGAACACCGTCTAACAAGTTTAATTTCGGACCTTTCTTATGCTACAAAAGGGCCAGAATGTAAATGACCCAAATCATATTTCGAATTTCCTTGTAGAAGCCCCTCAAATGTTGAGCCATATCTAATCTGAATTAAAGCTAAGAAGTATCTCTATTTAATTGTTCTTATCAAAAGCTAATTGAATTGTGTTCGTAACATCTTGCACTTAGATTATATTTGGGAATAAATTCCTATCTAATTTCTTTTGCTAAAGACTACTTGGAGTTTACCCGCAACTATATTTACATGTTCATGTAGCTCCTACCTGGAAAGGAATCGTTAATTTAAGCTGTAATTGAACATAAAACACATGCTTGAAAACTGTATCATAACTAAATTAAATTCCAATATCCAATTCTAGTTGAAGTAAAATCCTATTTGGAACGGGTATCATATTGGGACATTTCGAAGGGCTCCAGGCTCCAAATTCTGAGGCTTTGGGGACCCACAATTGGAAGCTCCAGACTTTAAATCTCGAGATTCTAGATTTACCATCCCCAAAAGGCAGTAAAACCAGGGTCCATAGGGGGGCGGGGGTTGCACATATATGTGTGCATATATATATATATATATATATGGTCATATATATATATATACGCTACCCCGCCCCCCCCTCCAGAACCCCCCCCCCCAGAACCCACGCACTTGCAAAATATGCTCACACCCCACCCATGATCCACTTTTCCTCCTTTGCACATATTCCATTTTCAGTTTTGCAAACCTACTCAAAAGCTACCATCCAATAGCCTTGCACATCTGCTCATTTGCCATCTTCCACCTTTTAAAATCTGCTCCACTACTGTCCATTTCCTTTACATGTGCTTGTCAAACTGCAATTAGCTTCGATTCAAATCCTGTTTGGAGGGATGTCCTACTTAAATCAGCACTCAACATAGACTTTCAAATTCCATCTACATAGCAGTTATCTTTGATTAAAGTCCGATTTGGAAAGCACTTCCTACTTTAATCCTCAAGACATTCAACTGCACATGCTTTGCTCTTCAATTATAATTAGATGTTGAATCTGAATTAAATCGTATTTAACAGGGGTTTAGCTTTAACTTCTAATTGATACAGCAACTACATTTCAACTAGTCCCTTGTTATGTTCTAGTCATGGACAGGATGCTTCACATAGTTTTTAGCTGAAGATAGAAGTCTAATGGACCTCCTGCCTTATTGAATTCGATGCACATTCTGTTAGTTGATGTTAGTTTTAAATCATATATGGAAAGGACTTCTCCTTTTAACTCTCGTTCAACATAGAAATCCTAATAGGCGTTCTTCCTTTAAACAAGGGTTAAACCTCAATTTGAATCCAATTTGGTTTAAGGAGCCTTATAAGAAGCTTTAAAGGGTTTTGTTTACAGAGCGTCAACAGGAGCTGCACAAGGAGCCCCATAAGCAGCTTTTCAAGGCGTACAAGGAGCTTTATAAGAACTTTAACATGTGCATTGTAAGCTGCATAAGGGAGCCTTGTATGCAGCTTTGCAACGATCCAGATAAAGAGCTTTATCATGAGCCTTACAAGGAGCTGTACAAGCATCTGTGCAAGGAATTGTACAAGGAGCCTTTAAGGAGCTTAAACAGAGCTTTATGATGAGTCGTGTAAGGAGCTGTATTTGAAGCTTGTTTCAAACAGTTTTAGAAGCAGCCAAGTGAGCTTCAAAAGGAGCTTTGCAAGAAGCTTTATAAGGAATTGCGATCCTTAATGGAGCCACGACGGAGTGTCTACAAAGAGCTGTATCAGGAGCCTTCATTAAGGAGCCTTCAAACGAGCTGGAGCTTGAAAAAGAGTGTTGAATTCCAATGTAACATTGAACATCTAGTTCACTGGTCACACCCCTGTGGCTCCAAGATGGCTTAAATCGTGGCAGCACCAAACCTGCCCAAAACAGGGAAATGCCAAGAAAACAAAAGAACATCGTGGGACCAAACAACACAAAAGTTGAGAAAACCAAAAACCACAAACCAGAGGCGAAGTGTTGGTGTTTGCCAGAAGGTTTGGTTCTTGGTGGGTTTCCCGTGCTCTGTTGTTTGGTTTTCCCTGAGTTTTGTTGGGCTGTTCAGCTCTATCCCTTCAAACACGGGGAAAGAAAAGGAAAGAAAACTAGGGTCCTCATGAAGAAGGGCCCCAAACCAGAACAACCAGAAAAACCAGACAAACCAGAAAAACAAAAAAAAAGGTCCTCAAGAAGAATGGCCCCAAACCAGAAAAACCAGAAAATCAGAAGAACCAGAAAAGCCAGAAAAACCAAAAAACCAGGGACCTCAAGAAGAAGGGCCCCAAAAACATGCAAAACCAGAAAACCAGGGTCCTCACGAAGAAGGGCCCCAAAAAACCAGAAAAACCAGAAACGCCAAAAAGCCAGGCTCTAGGAGACAAATGATAGAGGTCACCCTTCTTCTGCAGCACCCTGGTTTTTCTTTTCTCTGGCTTTTCTGGCCCTTCTTCATGAGGACCCTGGTTTTTGGGTTGTTCTACTTGATTCTATTTTTGTTCTTTCTGATTTGAGGCCCTTCCAGATAGAAGACCGTGGTGTTTCCCTCTTCCAGAAGACCCTGTTTTTTTCTTCGATTGTTCGGCGGTTTCCCCCTGTGTTTGAGAGGGGGTACCATATCTATATATATATATGTATATGTACATAGGTTGTCAATATTCAACAGTCATTCAATTTGCGCCCCTCAGCTGACATGGGTGTTGGTTGAGTGTACCCCCCCTCGCCTAACACTTGCTTTGGGTCTTTTCCTTTACAGATGCCCACAGGCCGGGTGGCTCGTCTTCGCGGGGGTCCTCCCCTTTTGGGCGGATGTTGGGCGCATGTTGGGCGACGGGCGCCTCTCGTTGCAGCTGCAGCTTCGTGGACTCCATCTCCTCCTCCAGGCCTTTGGCGCTACGGCGGCAACGGAAACCAGGAACCCCAACCCGGGGGGGGGGGAGCCAAAAGGAGCTGATGGCGCTTCCACCTGACTTTTCAGAGAAGCCACTTGGGGTTGTTAGGGAGTCTTTTTTGCAGAGCGACAACCATAAACGCAACATTGGCGATAGAACCCTTCTTTCCTCTAAAATCCCGTTTGGCATTGATAAACAAGGGAACGGAATTGATTGTCCCAAAAGCAAGGGCACTCTACATGTTCCTGATTTAAGCCAATTGGGTTGTTAGGGATTTCTGTTTTGCAGCGCCACAACCATGAGGGCAACATTGGCGAATTGGCACATCTGGAAACAATGCCTCAATCACACCGAGTCTTTTTGAAACGCGGGAACATGACACTGACACATTGTGAATCCGGGCGGGGGGGGGGGTCACAATAAACTTGGAAAGTCCAGAAACAGTGAGAATTGTCTGTAGAGGGGAAACCTCGAAAACAACCATCACCTCCAGTACACATGAGGTCTTCTTTCATTGCCCCGAGCACAAAATATACCCACCAAACTCTCAGGGGGGTAAGAAATGGTACCCCTGCTGCACGTGTGTTGGTTTTAGGTGTCTGGATCCAATGAAGCCGGTGGCTTTCTCGCGAGCGAGGCGCTCTGCAGGGAGGAGAGCATGGACGCCTCCCAGGTCTCAGAGGCTTCCACGGCTTCGATGATCTGCAGGTGAAGCCCGTTGTTCTCGGCCTGCAGTCGGGGGTTCTCCAAGCGGAGCACACCAAGCTCCGAGATCAGCAGTTGCAGCTCCTCGAGAGGACGCTATGGCTTGGACAGGAATCTAAAGCAAGGCCCAGCTGTTTTGGCCGCTAGAACACTCGGTTGCTAACCAGCAAATAACCAGGTTGAATTACTTTGATGTTGGTTTGTATTGAGAACCAGGCTCACAAGCTAGCCGGGCGATCTGGCCTTCTTTTGGAAAGCGAAAAACACCAGAAGTCAGCCCAGAGATGTCGGGTTTCCCGAGAGGGCGCTCCTGGGTTCTTTCCTTTTCCTTCTGCTCCATCTCCTTAAAGCCGGCGGCAGAGGCAATCAGGTCATCGATCATCGTCTCCACCAGCAGCACGGACTCCGCATCAAAGTGCTGATGGTAGCAATGCTCGCTGAGCTTCGCGCGAACCGCTGCATACCTCGCTTGCTTTCTGCGAAGCCTTGCTAGTGACTAATTTTTAGTGGCTTAGTACGGAAAACCCATCAGTTGGCAAAAAGTTGAAGTCCTAACATCCAAGCAAAATGCACCAGAGATACCGCATCTCTGCCACATCATCCTTCATTGCTCCCGTCACAGCGCACGGCGCTCCTCCGCTTCTTCCGTGCGGCTTCTGCTTCTGCTCGGCATGGCAAAGGAAGAGCTGAAGCTGTTACCGCTCCATGTGGGAAGAGCTTTCGAGCTACTGGCGAGCAAATGGCCCTGCTGCATGGTAGCATGGTCTCTGATCACCATTCTACTTAAGTGGTAGTCACAAACTTACCTGTGCCTCTGGGATGTTGCTCAAGTCCATTGCATCTTGCTACTCAAAGCCAGCGCCGCAGAATGCCACACACTTGGTTGTCTGGCAAGCAAGAAGGGAGTTACAAATGGCTCTGCCCTTGAAGTGGCTGTCAACATTAGGGGCCTGTCCCCTCCTTTGGCGATAGTTTGCTGCTGTTTACCCGAAAACAAGCTTGGCGCCGAATGCAAAGGCGCCAAACCAAGCCCTGCCACAACTTACACACTCTGCAAAGCTTTTGGTTCAACTCGTGCAATGGTGCCCGCCTGGTGCCCGCCTGGTGCTCGCCACACGAGGCTGTCTTTTCAGGCGGCCTGTGAAACTTACGCCTTCCCTTCGGGATGTTGGAATCCTGGGTTTGTCTCAAAGAGCCCACACTCTGAGAATACGGCGAAATAACCTCTCACTGTTTGAGGGATTGGTCCTCTCGGGTGAGGGGAACATCTTCTCACCAAAACGAACCCTGCCATACAGGAATGGGGTGGGAATCTTGAGACATGCCCAGCTATGTACACGCCGGGTGTCACTAAAAAGCCGGTTGGCCTAGGGCAACTCTTCAGAAGCTCTGGACCTTCGTGGAAGCATCCAGACCAACGCAGCCGGTGAGCTTCACTCGTCAAAGTCTTCGAACTCCTCGTTTGAGATCAAGCTTGACCGAATGTGGCAAACCCCCCACAACAATCTGCACGACATGCGCAACACGTCACACAGCTTCTTCGAGACATGGCTGTGGGTCGAACAATACGTACCCAAAATGGAACCCCGGTAAGTTGAACCAAGGACTAAAACCTGCGTCCCCTGGTGGTTTCATTTTGACCCATCCCCCGATTAACATCCAAGCTCACACTTCTGTCCCCCCTTTTCCTTTTCCACAGTGGCGAGCTGAGCTCCAGCAACAACCAATGCATCCACTTCATGGAAATTCCTTCCAGATCTGCAAGTTGCAAGAAAGAACATGGAATCAAAGAACTGAACCTGGAAACCTGGAAAGCTGCTAGCAGCGAAGCGTGACGTGAGACCTGCGAAACTCGGATTGAGCTTCGGAACCTGCGGAACCTATCTGCCCCAAACCGTGCAGGCACTGCGCTCACTGCGTGGCGGAGGTCTCCTAAGTGGATCGGTGCAAAGCTTGGCAAGGCGACAGACTGCACTTGGGACCCCACTTAGACCGTACAGCATATCGAATACCAGAAGCATCAAGAAGAGTGATCCATCCTGTTTGGGTCCAGACGCTCTTCCAAAACATTGAAACTAATTTGGGGTGGGGCATCCGATGGCATCACTTGCCAAAGTGTGGGTCTGCCTGTCAGCCTCGGCTACAGCTGGCCTGCTGGTGCCTCGATGTGGGCACGCACCTGGCGGTCGCTTCGCCTCCTACGCTGCGAGCGCTGCGAGCCCCGCCCCGCCCGGCGCCTTCTGCTGCTCGGGGACGCGGGAGACCTGAACACTGACTGCCTGCCTGCCTGCCTTGGATCCAGGTGAGTCATACTCAAAACCCGGTATCAAAACGGTCTACCCAGAACCATGTAAAGCATGAAGAAGGCGGCCGCAACTAGTTCTGGCTGGGATTGTCCCTTACCCACCTTCATCTACCCGGGTGTTGATTGTGACTCAGGTGACCGCGGAAACAATCAAACCAAAAAACGGGTAGCCGAAACAAAAATTCCCGGCATCAACACTCTCGGCCTCGATCACATTCACTGTGCCACCAGCAGCGAGCTTGCCGACAATGTCGCCGCCTGAGGATGACCTTGCCCATTGCGCACGACGAACATCCACAGCACACTGCCGATTACCACCGAAACGGCAGTTGTCGCGGCCTGGCTTTGTTCACCTCCAGCTTGTCATGAATGACTGCATAGCAACCCGGACCGTCGTCCTGCCATAAACAAAAACTCCCCACATTAACAGCTGCTAATCTTGCCTCCTCCACCGTATGACGCTGACACATATTGCCGAAGCCTGGCTTGTGGTCAAAGACCTAGCCGGGGCTGCGTTCCATAAAGTAATAGCAAGAAACGCAAGGTCCAGCCAGCCCTCAGCTCACAAACACTACCTGCACACCTTTAGAGTCGCATAGAGTCGCAATGTGGCATGGAAAAGCCATCAGCCATGGATGATTTACGTTGGAACCTTGGCATTACTTTTGTTTTCACTATACCCTTCCTTGACGGCCGGACCCACCCCCGTCCATCGGCCAACTCCAGGTACAGCACGCCCCCAGGTCCTCCAGACAAACAAGAATTCAACTAAGGAGTGAAGTCGGCAGATCTCAAGGAAGTTGCAGCTCTCCTTGCTTCTCCTGAATCACGCCTGGCCCCGAAAGCGGCACTCGCCAAGTTCCAAGGTTAATCGGCCAGAAAGTACACTTACTGCAGCGTCGGCGCAGAACACGTCTCCAGCACCCAGGCAGTTCAGCGATCGGGCGCCATCGATGTTGGGCTCTGACCTGCTGCTCTTGGCACCGTGTGGGCTGATTTTATGAGGTTGTGCTCAAAAAGTACGCAAAGTACACTCCTGCAGGCTAACATGGAAGCTGACAGGAGGGGGTTGGAAGACTACTTTCCTTTTGGGGAACCCCTCTGTCCACTTCCATGTTTGTTGGTGGGAGGGTAGCCAGGTGTTTCGTGGGGCCCGTGTTTTGGCGCAACAAAACCCAAAATACTCGCAGGAAATCCCTTGCCTGATATCCAGGTGCCTGCCATCCTGAGGGCAGTAGCGCCAGAAGGTGACCTGCGAGAGAGAAGAGAAGCGCACTGCGAATCGAAGGCGTGCCACCAGCCTTCGGGGCTCCTCCCCATCCGCCGAACCTCGAAGCAAGCGGTTGCAGAATGGGGCATCACCGACGTATATAGAGGAAACGCCATGCAAAAAGTGGCACCGACCCCGTTGAGTTGGGGGGGGGAACGTTCGTTTTCTTGAGGCCCATTCCGAGGCAGCAACTTTGGCACAAGCAGACTTTGCATCCAGAACTGGTCTTGCAAACTCAAACTAGGGGCCGCCAGTGCCAGTGCTGCCAAGGAGCATGCTCCACTCCTGTTGTGGCACATCACTGGTGGTTCCTCCAGCCTGGAGGACTGCCCCGAGAACTTTGGCGGGGGCGGGCTGAGTGAGGCTTGTGCTTTGGAGGCTGCCTTTGATGTTGTGCAATTGACATACTTGATTTTATCTGCAGTGTTTTTAGGGCTGGTCAAAGTCAGCCGGTCAAAGTCAGCCAAAATATTTGGATGTTCGTTCGCACCTGCCCACCCAAGCTGTTCCAGTTGTTAAAATGCCCCTAATTCACAAACATTTGAGTTTGATGATGTCGACATCATGTCAAGGGGTTCAAACGGCCAGGCATCAATGGATGATAGCGTCTCCTCTTCTGGTGTGAAGCAACCGCAGCATGCCAATGAAGAAGACAGTGCATTCAGGACTGAACTCCCCTGCACCGCAGAGGGGTTCCTTGACAAAGCTCCTAGTTGATATACTCCTTTTCCAGCTGCTGATTCTGTGTAATCCACATTTAATTAGCAGGCTGCAATAGCCACTGTGCCCAGGCTGGCTCTTCACGCAGCCAGTGCGCGTCTCAGACTCTGGCCGGGTTTGGGACGAAGCCACCTGCATCGGGGTCTGGTGTGGGGTTGGACCCCCCATTTTCTGCAGAAAATGGGGGGGGCCAACCCCATTTTTCATTGGAAAACGGCGGGCCGACCCCATCTTCCTCAATTTAGAAAGGGGGGCCAACCTCGGTCCGATGTGCCAGTGGGCCAACCCCCAATAAAAGAAAATGGGGGGGTCCAACCCCACCATGAAAAAACGAAAACGGCGGCGTCGTGAAAAAGATGGGGAGGTCAACCTCCATTACTGTCAGCATCATTTCTGTTATAGTGTGTGGCTCCCTTACAAGGTAAACTTTCAGTGAGATACGACATAAACCCCTCTAAACTCAAAAGAGTTGAACCTTGGGTATGGCCGAGAACGGCCAAAATGAGACATGTGAACAGGTTGATTCGCTGGACTGAAGCGAGTCACAGATTTTTAGGCTGCGGTCTTCCAATGCGACATTCCGTCCTTCTGCTCTGCCCGTCTGAGGTGGGGCGACATTCCGCGCGTGAAGGTCTGCTTTGACGTCCCCGGAAAGCCCCTCCAGCACTTTGTACCAACGTGCTTCGCGGGGCTCAGGAAAAAACCGCCGGGCGGTTACTTACGGAGTTCCCAAGATTTCCTCTTCAAACATCACACCAGGCAAATCACATGATAAATTAAATAAACAAAAAACCAATAGCTGCGCGGATATGCGGATTTTAGAAAATGGGGTCTTCCAACTCAGTCTATTTTCGAAAATGGGGTCAGCCAATCCAGCCTGAGAAATGTCTAATTTTAGGAAATGGGGGGTCAACCTGGAACCCTTCCTATCCAGACCCATTTTCTTTTATTCACAATTTAGAAAAATGGGGGGTGCCAACCCCACCATGGAAGGTGACATCCATAGAAAAAACAAACCCAAAATGGGCTCAACCCCCCCCACCCCCATTTTCTAGATTAATGACGAACCCGGATCTGCGTTTTCTGCACAAAGAATCTATGAACCACCCAGTCAGCTTCCAGGCCTTCGTAGCCTTTGCCTTTGTCCTTGCCCTTGTCCTTTCCCTTGCCCTTCTCCGGTTCTGGCGCATCGGCGAAAGCCAAAAAACGGGCTCGTTTTTGACAGACTCGGAAACGAGAAACGAAGTCCGTTTCCTGCATAACCGGCTTGGGCTTCACCGCCCCACCAGCCAAAGAAGCCCGCGGTCGCCTGAAACGCTCGACCAGTTCCAGGCACGCGGCAAGTTGAATCTTTTGCCATGGAACAAAAGTGTTTGCCGTAGGCAACACTCTCATAGACTCAGAACAAAAGTGACATGTCCGCAAGGTTTACCGCCCATCTCTTTCACCAGGCAACTCCAGCAGCACCGCCACGAGATTGCTTTGGAGGCCCACTGCCTACGAGTTGCAGAATTTGTAGCTTGGAATCGGGGGACACCTTCATGACGCGACTCGTCTGTGTGTGTGAGTGCGAAGGCCAGTCCAGTCCGGCAGGCAGTCAGGCAGTCGGTCAGTCAGCCAGGCAGTCAGAAACTCTCAGCCTGTTGCGTCTTGCAGATTTTCTCTCCAACATGTAGCTTCTGGTGAGTCAAAAAACTAGCCAGGCAAATGTTTACTCCTAGTATTCCAAGTGTTCCAAGTGATCCAGGTGCCGGGTCTGTATTTGATCCAATCTCATGGCATGCATGAAGCATGCTGCTCCCTCTTTTGCCTCCCACTGCGTCAGCTGGCGGCCGGATCTTGGTCACCGGGACCTGAGAACTCAGAATCTCAGAGTCTCAGCTTCGATTTTCTGAGACCGCCGCTGACATTTTGCAATCCAAGTCGAAGGTGCCAGGCTCCGAAGCTTTGTTCAACAGCCTCAAAAAAAACGAGAGGAAGGCTCAAGTAGCTTGATGTTGTCGGCTCCGAAACGTCATTCTCTCTTTGGTGCCCGTTTCTGAAACCATGAAAGTTGATTTGAATGGCGGCCGACCAAGGATCGTTCTAATCTTTCTTTCATCAATCATCCTGACATGGCAAACGAGCGCGGATATCAAGGAAGTGTCTGCAGGTGACCGATGATTCTGAGCGTGGAGCTTGGCTGGAATCCAACTGTTGGAGGACTGGCTGTGGTACTCAACCTCAGAGCGTGGTCTTGCAACATCTGCTTTCCGAACTGTTCAAGAACCGGCTCCGTGTCTGGCTTCAAAGCATGCTAGGAGTAACACACAATTTGAACCCTAGCAGGTGTCGTCCGAGGGGCGACCACGCCGTCCAGAAGCCTGAACATGTTTTCTGCCTCGGCGCTTATTGCATTGCGATCTCTGTGCTCAGCTTTCATCCGAAAAGGACGGTACATCCAGAGGTCCCAAGGCCATCACATTTGCCCCCGGCTTCACATCCAGATCGTACAGGTCCCCTCTGGAGCTGAGCACCTTTCAAGCGGAAGCGGTCGAATCGCGCGAGACACGAAACACAGCTCCAGTGCCCCAGTGCCTTGGCAGGTATCCATCCATGTGCAGAGCTCTTGTAAAAGCAGAAGTCCCCAGCCTGGCGAACCAAAAACCAATGCAGGACTCACAAACCGATCCGCTGACCGGTGCATTTTCACACATTGGTTGCATGCGCAAACGAAGAGAGAGAGAGAGAGAGAGAGAGAGAGAGAGAGAGAGAGAGAGAGAGAGTGTGGTGTGGTGTGCTTGATTATCGCCTTGGCATCGTGCTAAACATGTGGTGTGTTCATCGCCTTGGTGCAAGAATGTGCTGTGGGTCAAAATTAAACCACCAGGAAAGGTTTAGAACCCATGTGTCCATTTACCGGGGTTTAGTTTTGAGTACCTATGTTTGACCCACAGCCATGTGACTCCAAGAGGAGCACCGGCCTGTATCGGCAAAGTGGTCGCGGGCGGTCCCGGAGCTGATCCGCCTGGCTTTGCGTCATGCCATCGAAGCTTGTTGGGCCCCCGAAACCGTGCTGCGATAGGTAGGGCGTGTGGAATGAACCGTTTTGGGAGACCCGGATACAGGAAGCCACAAGGGATGAGGGAATGTGGCGGAATGAACCGTTTTGGGATTCCCGAAAAAAGGGAAACCACCAGCTGCTTGGGGTTGTTCCAGCTCTCATTCCCTGCCTATCGCAGCAAGAAACACATGGTGCAAGCAAAAATGGATGAAGCACCTTTCCCAGCGTGAGGTGGTGGCAGCCGGATTTTGCTGATCTCAACTCCATCCTTGCAGTCCTCAAAAGGCCAAGGGCGTCAGGGCTTCGATCGATCTCGGCCAGAGTGGGCCCCCGGCTAAATCGAAGGTTGCTATTCTTTGGCCTCGAGGCCGGGAGCTGTCAAATTTAGGATCCTTGTTGCCATATACCAGAGATTAATAATCCTAATATAAGCTTTCCTGTAGAAGGTGATAAATGTGACAAAGTCATAAAAGAAGCCTTTGAAAGGGGTCAAAAACATGGGAGCTGAAACGTGACCCATCCCCACCAACGCATTCATGAGCGCCAGGCCCTGCCGGAGAAGTCGCGCCGGAATCCACGCCTCTGAGCAAGCCGCACGAGTCAAAAAAAGCGAAGCACATCTGGGGCTGTGATGGTTGAGTATATGTTTTTGTATTATTAATGTTGAGCATAGGGGGTTATGGGTTATTATTGTTGTTGTTATTAATGTTGAGCCCATATAAATCAACCTCTGTTTATTCATAGGGAAATTTGTGTGGGAATTCTCCATATTAAATAAACTGGTGATTAATATGGGGACAACGTGATTGTGTTTGTTTCCCTTCTGCAGCCATGGACCCAGCTCTCTAAAAACGCGAAAGCGTGCTTCTTTTTTTCGGGGACTTGGGTTCCTAAAATGGCTGTGGCTCAAAAATCGGTACTCAAAATGACACCTCGGTAAATGGAAGAAAGACCAACACCTGCGCAACCCCAGCACCCAAAGCCCGCCGCGATGTTAAACGTCTCGGTGCCGCGCGTTCATGGACGCGCTGTTGTACTCCACCATCTCTCCTCGGTGGCTTTCTGTTCCCCTGCTAAAAGTCTAACTTTTTCTGGTTTCATGGAAAACCCATTAGTTGGCAAAAAGATAGTGTCCTAACATCCAAGCAAAATGCAACAAAGTCTCCCTCTGGGAAAGGCATGATGGCATCTGGCCGCACGCGCTGCTGGCCTCGGAAGTGGCGCTGAAGATTGGCGAACCACGGCAGAATGCCATTGAAAAGGAAGCACGGATCTCTGCCACCCTCACGATCGCTGAGATGCTGATCAAAGCTTGGGTATGCTCAAGCAGCACCCTTCAAAGAACAAAAAACCGTGCAAGAAAACGGCTGGTGAGATCTGTCAGAGTAGATGTGATCAAAGCGCTCGGCAGTCCAAATCATAGCTCCCATCCTGCACGACTTTGGCCCATTGGCAGAGGCAAAAACTGGATGCCGGAAGGGGAAAAATCAAAATGGCATAATCCTGAATTGCCATGCCAATGCGGGTTGGCTTGATCGCCTCATACAAATGAAGCCAAACTGTTTTTTAGCAATGAACCTTTTATTGCAGGCTTGTTCACACGTGTCTCAAAGGCGGGAAATGGTCAAGGGTAAGCCTGTTTGGGCAATGTCAAGGAAGCGCAAAGGTTCTTTTCGGCTGTGCAGAGATTCACGGGGAGTCCCCAAGAAAACTGAACGAACCCAACTCAAAAGCATGCTGCCTCCCAAGGCCCTGCCACCACTGCTGCCAGCTTGGGCGCGCCAGCCTGGATTCCGTGGAAGCCGGCTGAACAGAAGCAACCAGATCAGCCAAGGAAACCAAACCGTAGAGCTAAAGCCAATGGGTTTGTCACTTTGGCACAGCACAGAATCGTTGCCTTGAAGATCACAGGAGCTCCGTGCTGAATTCGCGGCATCACGATCTCATTGTCAGTCGAGCATCTAGGGCCCCTGGACTCCATGCTTGCAATGCTCGAGTTGCAGGAATTGCTCATGCCACAGGCGCTATCTGCTTGATGGACGTACTTGTGTATATGAGTGGGCACTTGGCTCAATCGCTTGAACCATGCAGGCAAGCGACACTGCGGCTGCTAGCATGAGTGGCACAGCCAGGCATCCAGGCAGGCAAGCAAGCAAGCAATGATGAGATCATTGAAGGAACAAAGAAAGGAAGGAAGGAAGGAAGGAAGAAAGGAAGGAAGGAAGAAAGAAATAAAGAAGCCAAGAAAGAAGCAAAGACAGACAGACAGACAGACAGACAGACAGACAGACAGACAGACAGACAGACAGACAGACAGACAGACAGACAGACAGACAGACAGACAGACAGACAGACAGACAGACAGACAGACAGACAGACAGACAGACAGACAGACAGACAGACAGACAGACAGACAGACAGACAGACAGACAGACAGACAGACAGACAGACAGACAGACAGACAGACAGACAGACAGACAGACAGACAGACAGACAGACAGACAGAAGACAGACAGAAGACAGAAGACAGAAGACAGAAGACAGAAGACAGAAGACAGACAGACAGACAGACAGACAGACAGACAGACAGAGAAAGAAAGAAACAAAGAAAGAAAGAAAGAAAGAAAGATCCAATCGCATAAGAGACAAACGAGGCAAAAGTGCATAAGTGCTGTCGCAAAGCAAAATGTCCTCCGAGTACCGATGCTGGAACAGGTCGTTCCTTGTATCGCTTGATGCTTTGTGTTCCCAAGCAATACCCCAGGACAAAGGTTTGAATGCTGGCTGTGCCGACTTGCAGAGAGCAGCCTCCAAAGTCAAGAGATCACAACGTGTCATCAAAGCTCCCCACATGGCTGTGGGTCAAAACCAATGGTACCATTCTGGGGTAGGTTGTGTGGATAACTCAAAAACGGTTTCTCAAAGTAATAACACCCATTTTCGAACCTATTCTAGCACTGGGGGTACGATTTGGATTTTGACCCACAGCCACATGGCTGAGGATTGGCTTAGGGATCCGTTTGACAGGCCAGCTCTAGTTTGGTTGATCCCACCCTTTGCAGCCGAATCTCCCAGCGGGACGTGTGACGGTAGGCCTTGGCATGACCATGTTACTTGGCTGGAAGTAGGACCCCAGCAAAACAAAGGTTTGCCTGGTTTGTGGAAAACAAACCGGGGACCCCAAAAAAGCCCCAAAAAAAAACAGCGGAAGCTAATTCTGGGGAAGCTTACTGCGCAGGGATTCTGAGTTTGGAACTTGTACCTGTCTGCTGAGTTCCGAGCTTCGCGTCCGGATCCTGAAAAGGAAACCACCATGCGGCGTTCCAAGGGTTGCCCTGTATCCCTGACGCGTCCCGGAAAAAGTACAATTTCTATCCCCCAACGTCTGACCGTGTAAGGGGGTATCCGCCGACAACAAACGGCGTGTTAAGAAATGCTCCTTACACGGTTTCTTGCCACGATCCTTTCTTCTGGGGGCGTGCGGGACACAGTTTACAAAGATTGGCTTCCCCCCGCGTTGCATCCTTAGCATCTCCTGGGCAACATTGCCAGCATCACCTGCATCATCCACATCAGCAACTGCCGAGGATGCGGATGATGCAAGTGATGCTGGGGATGTTGCCCATGCTGGTGAAGGAACATCTGGAAATGAAGGGGGGAAAAGATCTTATGGGGGGGGAAAGGGGAGGATCTTAGAGCGGGAAAGGGTGAAACGATCTTCGGATCTTAAGGGGGAAAAAATCTTAAAAAGGGGGGAAAAGATCTTTGGGGGAACGATCTTCGGGGGTGAAGGGGGGGAAAAGATATTATAAGGGGGAGAAGGGTGGGAAAGATCTTAGAGGGGAAGGGGGGAACGGGCGGGGCAAAGATCTTGGGGGGTAAGGGGGGAAAAGATCTTAGAGGGGTTTGGTGGGAAAAGATCTTAGGGAGAAAATCTCAGGGGGGAAAAGGCCTTAGGGGGGAAAGGATCTCAACAGGGAAAGGGTGGAAAAGATCTCAGGGAGGGAAAGGGAGAAGATCTCAGAGGTGGAAAAGGCCTTTCGGGGGAAAGGGGGGATTGGATCTCAACAGAGAAAGGGGGGAAAAGAGTTTAAGGAGGAAAAGGGAGAAAATTTCAGGCAAAGGATCTCAACAGGGAAAAGGGAGAAAAGATCTTAGGGAAGAAAATGGAAATAACACGGGGGGAAAAGGCCTTAGAGGGGAAAGGGGGGAAAGGATCTCAATAGGGAAAGTGGGGAAAAGATCTTAGGGAGGAAAAGGGAGAAGATCTCAGGGGGGGAAAAGGCTTTAGGGGGGAAAGGGGGGAAAGAATCTTAGGGAGGAAAAGGAAGAAGATCTCAGGGAAGGAAAAGGCTTTAGGGGGAAAGGGGGGAAAGGATCTCAACAGGGAAAGGGGAGAAAAGAGCTTAGGGAGGAAAAGGGAGAAGATCTCAGGGGGGGAAAAGGCCTTAGGGGGGAAAGGGGGGAAAGGATCTCAAGGGGGGAAAAGATCTTAGGGAGGAAAAGGGGGAGAAGATCTCAGGGGGGGGACGGGGGGGGAAGATCTTAGAGGGAAAGGGGGGGCAAGGGGACAATTCCAAAGGGACGCAAATAAAAAAAGCAGGCCTGTAATGTCGGCGGCCTGAGCCGGAGGCGCTAAAATATGGGCCTGTCCTTTCTTGTTGTTGGTACCCTTTTTCGTTGACTGTAAAGGGACACCGAATGGACGGCGTTGCTTCCACACCCAGCTGGTAAGCTTTCAGTGTCAAAATGGCCGAGTTTCCCTGTGGCGTCCCTTTAAAGCCACCAAGAATGGGTGGTTTCAGAAAAGGCACGCCCTTATAGGTTGTAGAGTTTGATCTACGCGGTTGCAAATGTGGCAGTGCCTGCCAGAGAAAAGTGCAATGAGACGCAACTGGCGCAAATTGCCTTCATTCCGCTCATGTTGTGTATACGTGATGCATGATAAGCATGACGCATACTTTTGCGCAGACATGAAGGTTGGTCCCAACGCCCTTTGCGCGAAAATCCCTTTCCGGCCTTTGACGAATGCTCTTGCTGACCAAAGCTGAGCGGTGATGCCTGGCGTTCAAGTCAGAATGCTGTGTGGCTGCTTGAAACACAAACGTCAACCTCAAGTCGCCTCTCACTCTCTCAAAGGTGGACGCGCCTCTTCTAAGTCCTGCTCAAGAATACAAGATCTGGCACATTGTTTCACGTGATTGAACTACGCACGCTGACGCACGGCACGGACGGTGCGCCGCGCCACTGCGCACCGAACCGCACGTGTGAAGTGCTTCTCGCAGGAAGTGGAGCAATGGTTGTCAGCCCTTGAGGTTCCAATCAGGATCTCTCTGCGTCTGAACCCGGAGGTCAAACTCTTTACGGTCTTTACGTCGCAGGCGCGAAAAAGGCCCTTCTGTCGAGCTTCAAACATCTCGCAGGTGCGTTCTCAGCTTTCGTCGTTGGTCTCTTCGTCGGTCATGCGGGTAGCTTGGCGAGTGACTCACCGCATGCGCGGAACCTGAAAGAAGCCCTAGTTTAACATTTGACACCAGGAGGGGCGCGTGCCCGCAGACACAAGAAAGGAAAAGCCACCAACAACGGTCCAGCTATCAGCTTCTCACACTATATATATATATAACCCATATATACACGCGCGGGCAAAACACACCAACAGAGAAAATGCTCAGCTTGCTGCGCTTTACCCTTGATGACTCCGCGCTCCTCTTGGATCTCAAGGCCATCCAACTGAGAGTCCATCCTTGCGAAGCAACTTATCCGCACATCGATCCAAGCTTTCCAAGGTGCCTTCCGGTGGACCCAACGGAGATCTGCTCATCCTCGCCGGCATTCAACGAGCCCGTGGTCAAAGGCTTGGGCTACAGGAAGTGAAAAACAGAAAAACCGCTGGTTTAGGGTGCCTTGGAGGCCTTTCCTGTGGATTTTCCCGTAGCGAAACACATTGACGTTGTCAACACCCAACGCATCCAAGCAGAAAAATAAGAACGTCCTCGCCCTCAGAGACCACTGGAGAATGATGAGACTGCCAAGTACCTGGCGAATCTTACGATGCAATCGCGCTCAGTCACACCTGCCCGCCACGCCCTCTTGCTCAGCGCTCAATCATAGCCGGTTTGCTCCTTCACGTCGCATTTGTTTTCCACGTTGCCCATATCTGCCGCATGTTGGCGAACAAATGTGGTGGACGCTTGTGAGCAGTAGAGACTGCACTCAAGCATAATAAGTAAGGACACATGGAAGCCACAGGCCAAGACCCAGCACCTTTGGTGCACGGTCTTTAGAGGCATGATGGCATCCGATCTGCAACAGAGCGCCTCAAAATACCGGCGCCTGGCAAGAAAACGCTTTGGCCTTGCCAAAGCTTCAGAATTGCATGCCATCGCATGTCCCTTGAGCACCTTCCGGGGGGTTCCTCGAAAGAACCCTCCTGAACATGCCGCCAGGCGAGCGCACTTGCCGAAGAGCAGGATGTCACGAAGTCCGATACCAAACTGCAACTGCGCGCAATAATAAAAAAACTACGCAAGCCTTTTCGATTCACGAGGCTGCGAGGTCCTCCTAGTTCACATGGCGACGAGGACCAGTGCCTTGCAGAATCATCTTGTCATGGGCAGTACTACTTCTTGAAGCAAGCGTGGTAAAACTGTGATGGATTTTAAATGGCTGTCCCTTCAGTCTAAAACTTTGCAAGTCAAGAGCAGTGATACATTTGATCAAGGCACTGTGATTCTGCTAAAGACAAACCTGGCTCCTCAAACTAGCAGCCCTCAGACTGCGCTATTGTCTTAGCTACTGTCTGGGACAGTCAGTTGTTTTTGAGCCCATACTCTTCAACAAAGGGGTGTCTTTTTTACGGAACCCCCCCCCCAAAAAAAAAAAAAAGATTGCCGTTGGGTGTCCCTGCAAAGCGACCAAACAAGGGCAACTCACAATGTCCCCCCTCAGTCCGTCACCTGCCTCCCCAGGGCCTCAAGCCCAGCTCTTGAGCAGCATCCTGTGGCTCAAGATCTAAGGGACCAAAGTTCCTGCAACTAGCGAGCTAATGCAATATCTCTGCGATGTGGATGGTTGCGAAATCCATAGAACGCACCACGATCTCTACGAGATACTTCTGCGTTTGCGCAAGGCTACGCTTCTAAGTCTTCGCATCAGGCCAGTGAGAACACATTGGCACCTTCGACATTCCAAGTTCACACCGCGCTACAGCGAGACCGATGCAATATATCCAGCGTCTGCAAAGAAACTCGCTTCGGTCAACTTCTCTCCAGAACCCGGCACAAACCTCTCAGGCGCTGCCCTTCTGCAGCTCTCTGCAGCTCTCGTTGAAGCCCTTGAAGGCCAAACGCGCGAACATGCACCCACCCTCCATCGGGCATGTCGGCGCCGACCCGCTCACTCAAACAAACACCACACCTCAAGGCAAACCAAAGCACGGTACCTCAAGGCCAGCCAGAACCGACCTGGCCGAGGTGGGCAATGCGAAGCGTTTACAATAACTTCAACATTCGCGGCAGCCCGGCCAAAGTCCGCGGAGAGTTGCCCTTTCATGTTGTACATATGCACATAATTACATATATATATATATATACATATATATATATACATATATATATATATATACATACATACATATGCCCAAGTCCGCAAAGGATTCGCTTTAAATGCTTCACACAGCAAGAGCGAGCGTGCCACAGCCAGAGCAACCCGACGCACCCGAAGACCACAGGTTCGACTTCGAAGATACAAATTTGCACCGCGACGCAGCAAGACCGATCCAACCCAGCCAAAGTCCAAAAGGGTTCACTGCCAAATTTGCAGGGCGTCACAGAGTGAGCACTTCCGAAACAGCTACCTTCGTGTCTGATACTGTTGCGAAACCTGGGCAGCCAAAAAATGCACTTCCGAGCAGGTGCATCATTTGGACTGTGCACGTGTCTCTTCCCCCCCTGGTCCAAAACTGGACCCTTTCCTGCTGGTGTAGAGACCCTTTTCGGTGAATTGAAGGGGCAAGACCCAAGTAGACGCACCCACGTCTCCTCCTCTCGCCATGGCGTGGACGAGCGGAAGTGCCTGGCCGTGTCAAACACACAAGCTTCCGAATGGGCATCATGAGCAATGGAGTGAGGAGGGGTGAGGCAAGCGGGGGTGCTTTGGGAGCTTGGAAACCTGAAGGCACAGCAAGTCTTGGCATAAAATCGAGTCAAGAATTCACCCCACGCGCCCATGCGCTTGCTTGTGCGTGATCCAAAAGAAGGCGGTTGAGAAAAACCCACGTCTTGCCGAGGCGATTTTGGGAACAGAACTGTTGGATACTTCCTGTCACCATGGAAGCCCAGTCCCTGTGCTCGAACCTACCTGGAGGGGCTTTGGGCCTGAAGAAGTACCCGCATGCCTTCCCATGTGCTTCGATTGCCAGCGCATGACAAAAGGCGTTCTGTCAAGACATGTGCCGAATTTGCCTTGTTTTTGAAAAAGCCATACTCTAGAAGCAGTAACCCAATCAAACTCCCCCTGACAGGTCTCTCAGGAACCCTCGAGCTGCCAGCTTGCAATCAGGCCAGCTGTTCTTCAAGCTCCTGAAGTGCTCTCCCAGCCAAAGCAAGCCGCTCCAAACATGCAAGTCGAGCTATCACCAGTTGAGCGTGCCAAACCCAAAGCTTTGGTTCTACCAAAGGGTCACAGAAGTAGGCCCGAGAATCAGCCACAAAGTAGAGCGATGTTTTTCTTTGTGCAACTGGCCAACACAAATTGTTTGGAGCGTGCTCGTTTGCTTTTGGCTTAAATTTCTCACGTGCAGAGCTGGGCTTCCTCTCTGGACCAGCAAAATTCTCCACGTGCTTCAACTGCCCTCTGGGGGTGGGCCTAGGTGAATTCTGCACAAGCATATTCACTCAAAGCATTTGTCCAAATGCTAGTTGGTCAGTCAAACTTATCTGTGATCACCAATACCTGCATGTCAGCAGTACCAGTTGGGGACCTCATTGAGGATGAGCTTGAGTTGTTGTTTGATTCTGACCTATAACATTCTGCTGGCAGAATTCTCAGCACCGCACTGCTTTGTGCGCAGGCATGGGTCCGAACGGCAGGCAATCAGCCTTGCCTTCCAAGTTGCCAGGCGCATCCAGCTGCAACTCGGCAAGCATGCAACAACATGCCCGCACCTTGTTCTTCTCCTCCTGCATCTTGAGGGGATTGAACCTTTTTGCGCGCTCCTGTCAGGCAAGCTGCACCACTCTGCAAAAAGCTGCACCAAGCTGCACCCAGCACATTGGCTGATGGGGGGTCTTAGGCGTGTACAAGGTCACCGGCAGCCATTGCTCCCTCGGCCTCATGGTGCTACAAATCGCAGCGGGGCTTCTGCAAAGAATCCATTTGAGGTGGTTTCTTGTTTCGCATTCTGACAACAGCAAGCAATTGCTTGCGTGCTGAGTTCCAGAAGGAAAATCTTCATTGTCTGATGTTGGTAATCCTGAATCCTGACAACTTATCCTCGCCGTCTTTGCCGCTGCTTGGACTCGCATCGCTGACATCAATGGAGACAGAGACGCCCATCATCGCCCCATGCACATACAGGGCCGATCACTGTAGCAAAGCACAAGGTCAACACAAAAAGAAAGCAGCTAGTGAGCAGTTCGCAGATATGTGGTCAGCAGCCAGTTGTGAAACGTGTGCATCCTGGAATTGGACAAACATGCACGACACATCCAACAGCAAACCTAACGCCAAATCATATACACTAAGGATGTCAAGCTTCATGTATACGCGGGCAAATGGTGCAAACGCATATCATTGACCAAATAGAAATGGCGGATTAAGTTCGTATTCAGGCAAATATGTCTGATGGTGGACTGTCAAGGATAGCGGATCTGTCGCCGCCGCGAAACCTTTGCATGAGTGTGAACTCGGCGGCGAGCCAATGGGATTTGCGTCGTCAAGCATCAAAGCTTAAAGAAGCAAACTTGTCTTTTTCACGCTAACTCACATAGCCACGCATCGGTGGGAGTCAACTGCACAAACTCAAGCATGCAAGACCGTCTGCATTGACTTATTCACACCGAACCAGCCGACACGGCCATCACAGGTTTATTGTGTTTTGATGTTCATCGAGAGAGAGGCGAGCCCAAATGCGCCCAAAGCCTCATCCAACTGGGCGGTTGGAAGCAAACAGCGAACCCCCTACCCACTTCCACATTTCCTCTCGTGCCAAGACGCGTGTGCTTCAGACAGCGCTCAACACAAACAGTGTGCCCATTGCTGTGACGCTCATTGCACCCCCCTCCCCCCCCCCCCTTCCCCGGAACATGCAAAAAGACCCACCTGCCACTGTCAAACTGCCTTCACTTCAATCCTAGCCTGCGCACTTGCTTGGCAGCCGGGTCGCAGCTGCATTGCGCAGCTGATGAATGGACTTCACGGCAGTCTTCAACTGGTACAGCTGAAACTGCTTCATGCTCTCATGGCTCACATGTCTCCTCCCATTACAGGCACCTTCTTGATGCCACTTCGGGCCGCTTTCGACAAATGAGGCCTGTCTATCGGACCTGGCGGCAAAGTCAAGTCAAGTCAAGCAACTGTGTCACAACAATAATTAGCAGGTAACAGTAAACGTTGCATTCGGTGAATCATGATGATGATAGGATGTTTGCATCGATTGCCAGCCATGCCAAGCTATGATTGGTCGCGCCTTGTGAAATCATGTCTCTCGCAATTTCCATGCGGCGAGCATCGGCGTCAAGGATTTCTTGCGCCTGACAAGTGACGAGTTGCCAAGGGGAATCTGGATGGAACCTTCGTGGAACTGGATGCTAGGTACATGGGGGCTTGACGTGAAGAATCCAATGGTTGGCTTTCAGGGTCCACGGCCCACTTAAAACTTATTTGACATAAATGTGCCGTTCAGTGCATAGAGAAACTATGAGAAGCTCGTCATGCTTCCTAAGGGAAAAAGGGATGTGCAACCCCATGGAAATCGGATGGGCGGTCAACCCCTGTCTCCGTTGCTTGACCGGAAATCGGATGGTCACCTGCTTCGGAGTTGCTGAACGCCTACAACGGGGCCTTGTCAACTCTGTTGAGCGCATAGTAGACCTGCGCGAATGTTCACGAGCCGGCATGGCGATGTCGAAAACGGCCTCATGCAGATGTCGGTCTCGTGCCTGTCAAGTTGAGGCGCGCAGCCAATGGACGAAAGGACATCAGCCCTACCTTGCCATGTTTCTGCAACCATCGACGGTGCATCTCCCCGCAAAGAGCATCCTGCGAGGAAGCCAGTTCGGTGCTCAATGTTAACCCCATATGAATCAACCAACCAGTTCACTCATAGTGTGGTGCTCATTTCTGGGTGAAATGTGGGGAATGTCTGTTGGAGCGGCCAAAAACCACCCAATTCGACCAACATTTCCGGGTTTCGTGGGGAATCACTTTTGCCAATGATGATCAACTGGTTGGCTGATGAAATTTTGGGGTCAACAATCCCTTGCCATCGCCGCTCGCATAGGGTCCGTGGGCGCGGGCAGTGGCTCGTCGTGCGAGAACTTGATCTGGCAAGCCGAGAGCGAAGGCAATGAACACCGGGGAAGACGGTTTTGGCAAATGGCCATGGGTCAACAACCCGTATCCCCAGTGAACATCCCAATCCCCACTAAAATAGACTAAAATGGGTGGTGCACCTACCCCAAAATGGTACCATTGGTTCTGACCCACAGCCATATGGCTGCGGCTCAAAAGCATGTTCCAAAAGCATGTACCCTAGCTCTCTCTAATTTGATTGGTCTGGCCTGCGAGGGCAAATGAGCAAATGACCGGTCTGGCATGGTCAGGCCTGGAAAGGTCGCAAGGTCGCAAGACAATGTGCGTGTGACATCCGTTCCAGTGGCCAAGCGAAATCAGGTCTAAGTGACTCGCGCTCAGTGACACGTGGCTCCAGCTGCTTTGGCTTCAAGTAGCCTGGATTCGCCTGAGCTTGCCCGGCTCTTTCGCATTCAAATCCTTGGACTTGGAGCTGGGCATGAAAGGCTTCACCGGCCGATCTGCAAACCCGCAGCCAAGCAGGCTGCACTTCTTCCCCGGACCTCCCGAGTTGACATTCCGAAGACCCTGAGATGCAAATGGCTCTTAAGGATGCACAAAGTGGACGAACACGGCATGTAGCACTCAATCTGGCCAGGCGCACTCCTTCGTCAGATTTCGCTTGTCGAGCGGAGGAGACCACTGCGGCCGCCATCGGTCCTCTCGACGAGCCAAGCACGAACACCTTTGAAACCCAAAAAGCTAAGGAGCTACAACGGTCGAACTGAAGCTGAGAAAGACTTCTGCGAAGGATACTTAGAGGGGCCCTCTGACATTTCCAGGGAGAGTGTTGCCTGAACATGGGCCGAGTGAGTGCAAGAATCAAAAGCAAACCCGCCAGCCTTCAGTTTCGGAATGCGCGGTCCTGGCATCACCGCCCATGCAAAGGATCTTGGGCTCTTGACAGCTGCCTTTCTGTGGTCGGGGATCAGCTTCCTCTGCAAGCTTCTCAGACCGCTGTCTTTCAAGGAAGCCTAGGGTGGCATCCAACAGCTGACCCATCCGTAAATCTATCAAGGCGCGCGGAAAAGTGTGGCATGCCCCGTGTACAGATTCAATAGTATCATGTGTATGTACATACATGTATACATATACATATATATAAATATAGATATATACATACATATATATATATATATACATACATAAATATATATATATATATATATACGTATATACATATATACATATATACATATATACATATATACATATATACATATATACATATATACATATATACATATATACAAATATACATATAAACATGCATACATTACGTTACATTACATTACATGACATTAAATTACATTACATTGCATTGCATTACATTTCATCACATTGCAGTACATTACATACATACATACATACATACATACATACAGACATACAGACATACATTACATACATACATACGTACGTACATACATACATACATACATACATACATACATACATACATACATACATACATACATACATTACATTACATTACATTACATTACATTACATTACATTACATTACATTACATTACATTACATTACACATTACATTACATTACATTACATTACATTACATTACATTACATTACATTACATTACATTACATTACATTACATTACATTACATTACATTACATTACATTACATTACATTACATTACATTACATTACATTACATTACATTACATTACATTACATTACATTACATACATACATACATACATTACATTACATACATACATACATACATACATACATACATACATACATACATACATACATACATACATACATACATACATACATACATACATACATACATACATACATACATACATACATACATACATACATACATACATACATACATACATACATACATACATACATACATACATACATACATACATACATACATACATACATACATACATACATACATACATACATACATACATACATACATACATACATACATACATACATACATACATACATACATACATACATACATACATACATACATACATACATACATACATACATACATACATACATACATACATACATACATACATACATACATACATACATACATACATACATACATACATACATACATACATACATACATACATACATACATACATACATACATACATACATACATACATACATACATACATACATACATACATACATACATACATACATACATACATACATACATACATACATACATACATACATACATACATACATACATACATACATACATACATTACATACATTACATTACATTACATTACATTACATTACATTACATTACATTACATTACATTACATTACATTACATTACATTACATTACATTACATTACATTACATTACATTACATACATTACATTACATACATACATACATTACATTACATTACATTACATACATACATACATTACATACATACATTACATTACATACATTACATTACATTACATTACATTACATTACATACATACATACATACATACATACATACATACATTACATACATACATTACATTACATTACATTACATTACATTACATTACATTACATTACATACATTACATACATTACATACATTACATACATACATACATTACATACATACATACATACATACATACATACATACATACATACATACATACATACATACATACATACATACATACATACATACATACATACATACATACATACATACATACATACATACATACATACATACATACATACATACATACATACATACATACATACATACATACATACATACATACATACATACATACATACATACATACATACATACATACATACATACATACATACATACATACATACATACATACATACATACATACATACATACATACATACATACATACATACATACATACATACATACATACATTACATACATACATACATACATACATACATTACATTACATACATACATACATACATACATACATACATACATACATACATACATACATACATACATACATACATACATACATACATACATACATACATACATACATACATACATACATACATACATACATACATACATACATACATACATACATACATACATACATACATACATACATACATACATACATACATACATACATACATACATACATACATACATACATACATACATACATACATACATACATACATACATACATACATACATACATACATACATACATACATACATACATACATACATACATACATACATACATACATACATACATACATACATACATACATACATACATACATACATACATACATACATACATACATACATACATACATACATACATACATACATACATACATACATACATACATACATACATACATACATACATACATACATACATACATACATACATACATACATACATACATACATACATACATACATACATACATACATACATACATACATACATACATACATACATACATACATACATACATACATACATACATACATACATACATACATACATACATACATACATACATACATACATACATACATACATACATACATACATACATACATACATACATACATACATACATATATACGTACATTACATTACATTACACTACACTACATTACATTACATTACATTACATTACATCACTACATTACATTACATTACATCACATTACATTACATCACATACATACATTACATTACATTACATTACATTGCATTACATTACATTACGTTACGTTACGTTACGTTATGTTACATTACAATACATTACATTACATTACATTACATACATACTTATATACATACACATATATATATATATATATATGTATACACATACATTTATACATCTATACATCTATACATACGTAAATGCACGTATACCTTTATGCGTACATGTAATATCATATACATACATGTGTGGGTGTGTCACAATCATAAATGTGTCGGGTATGCAACTAGGAATGAGGGTAGGGCAGTGCATTGCAGTCTCAATATCGGTATGGGTTAGTATTAAACCACCAGGGTACCGCAGGCTTGAGTCCTTGCTTCCCTTTTCCAGGGCAAGTCATTTTGGGTCCATGTTTTTGAACCCACAGTCATGAGGCCATGGGCCAAAACCCTGTACCCCCAGTGAACAGCCCAATCCCCACTAAAATAGACTAAAATGGAGGTGCAGCCATGCAATGCAAGCCCGCCACAGATCTGAGGGCAGCGCCTAGCAAGTCTTCCAGAGACTCCTCACCCGCCTGAGCTGCAAGCCCGCCACGGTGGCACGGTGGCACGGTTGCCGGGGGCGTGAGTCCTCGACCTTTGCACCGACTGCCATCGTCATTGTCTTGCTAAGGGTCTACAAAGTTTGTGGCTTGGGGAGATGCGTTCTTCACATCATGTCCTCTTCAGGGGTCGACTCTGCCAAAGAAGTACTCTTGTGCTTGCTCTGTGTGCGGGCCAAACTTGAGATCAGGGCGAGCAAACTAGTTGTGCGACCTCTCCCTCTTTCTCACTCCCTTCATAGAATACGAAACAAGTCGAGGCCATTCAACACGGTACTAAGTACATACAAGTACCTTGTTGCGTGTGCCTTGTATATGCCACGCATGCGCGTTGCCTGTGCCTTGCCTGTCGCGTGTCTTGCATGTGCCCGGCTCACCCTGTGTCGGTCCAGCTCCGCCTTGGTGTACGGGAAATTGATGATTGTCTCAAAATGGCAAACTGCCCGATGTGTGAATTAAAAAGGAGCCAGCCAAAAGGACAAAAAGGCAAATCCTTGTGGCTTCGTAAATGAAAGGTGGCCCGTGTAATGTAACAACCCGGCTTGGCAAATCAAAAGTTGCCGCACGTATCACAAGACTTCAGCCATTGACCATCCACCCGTGCGTTTTGGTTGACTTCCTACAAATTCCTAGCGCCCAACTGGATCGCGTCGGACCGGCACTGGCTGGGCGAGCCTTAGAGTTGCAACAGGCCAACGCACCAGATGGATGTCTTCTTGAAGGGTACTCCCTTTCTTGGTGATGTTCAAAGGGAAGCCAACACCACCACATTCGCGGGGGTCACAAGAAACAAGATACACCCAATTGCTTGAAGTGCACCAAATCTTCATGGCGTCAGTTGTGCTTTGGCGCGTCTTTTGAAGTAGCAAGGGCCCCAATCGCGGACTTCCCTTTTCCCTTTGTTCAAACTAGACAAGATAGAAACTTTTGAGGTTGTTTCGTACCATGCCTCGGCTGTTATTTCAGACTGTTCTGATTCCTTTGATTGGTTGCAAACTGTCTGCGCTTGCTGTGAATCGAAATGGGCAATGTCGGACCCATGCTGAATGTACTCCCCACAAAGCAACTGCCGCTGAATGCTTCCATGTGTTCACACTGATTGAGGGTCTTGAAAATGCACACAAACAACGAGTTGTCTTATATTGCATCTGACTGCTTTGTGCACAGTTTACGCGGGCAAAGCCAAGCAATCTTGCTTCAGCGTCCAAGAAACCGCCCGTGAAGCAAACCTATCCACGTCCGAAAATGAAGTCGCAGTAGAATGCGAGGAGCCTGCGGCATGGTTCGAGAGCATTTGTGCGGCAAGGGGCTGATTGCTCCCAAGGCGCTGCTTGTTGGACGTTCGTGAAGTAACTTGGAAGGCCTCAGCGAGCCACGGCACAAAGACAAATCGCTGCTTTCACGGGTTGCCATCGGGTTCCCAGGCTTGGCTGGCACGTTATCAAGATCAAGACCATTCTCTCCCTCCAGCCAGACATCGCTAGGCGGGTTCAGAGACAAAAGCACGTTGGCCTCCTCCTCATCTTCAAGAGAGTTTTCATCAACAGTCGGCAGGCGATCCTGGGTCAAGAGTTTGGCTAGGAGTTGCAGTTGCTGTTTGAAGCAAAGTCCTGCTGGATGTCCCACACAGAGACGCCGTCACCCTCCTCAACTTTGGCAAGTTCTACTCTTGCCCCCTTCTTTCTGCTCATAAAACAAACCCATGCAGAGGCGTGATGTAGACTTGCGCCGAGACCTGCGTTGTCCACGCAGCAAGTCTGGGGCAAAACTTCTGAAGACCCCAAAGCGCGAGAAATTGCACGGAGGCACGGAGCTGTCCTCCACTTCCACCATGGGTCCCTGGGAGAGAAAAAAAACCACGCGGCCGGGGAAAGCGATGTGGTGTTTATGCATATATATATATAGGTGTAGGTCAAACAATACCCCAAATGGAATCCTGGCAAATGGAACACATGGGTTCTAAAACCAGCGGTCCGATTCCTGGTGGTTGATTTTTTTACCCGTCCCCATATGGCTGTCTGTGGGTCAAAACCAATGGCCACCCATTTTAGAAGCTATTTTAGTGGTTGGATTGGTTGATGTTCACTGAACATACGATTTGGATTTTGACCCATCCCATCTAACTTGGGCCTCGGTGTCCAGGAAGCCCGAGGAATTGGACGAGGCGTCATCCTCCATCGGATTGCCTGGCATGACAAGGCCCTGACCCGTCCAAGGCACACGTGTTGCTTGGTCGCAAATGCACCGATGGGTTTTAAACGGGTGTGTCATTTTGAGGGCACCCCTCAAAAATGGTGGTTGTCCGGTTTTTTTTTCGTTTAAAAAAAGAATGGGCGCCCTCAACCTGTCGAAAGTAACCACTTGGAGTTCGTCTGACCTGGTGTGCTATGGGGATGTGCAACACGCGAAGCTGCAAACAATCCCCTTCTCTCCAAAGCGCCCGAATCAGCTCGTTCAAACGTTGCAGCGTGCCTTCCACATCACACGGACTATCCTGTGGACGGGTTTGGCGCTGGGGGGGGGGAGGGTCGCAGCTTGGAAGATGTATGTTGCTGGACATAACCCTAATTCATCAAAAACAAATTCTGCTTCAGCCTTTAGTAATCAGCCAACCAGCCCCCACAAGTCTATTGCATAGTTTCAATTATAAAAGCTCAAGATCATTGGACCATATGACCTTCACACGCGTCCTTAGAAGTATCGAAGAACCCGACTCCTTGGCTTGATGGAAGCTGCGCAACAACTGAGTTTAATCTTCTGCTGGCCAAGTTAAAAATCCAATGTGTATCGCCACTCTTCCACTTGCCCATGATCAATCAGTTGGCCAAGTTACCCTTCTGTAAAGGCTGCTCGGAGGCTTCTGCCTTCTCCTCCTGTGCAAAAACTTTACGCAAGCGCTACTCTGGCAAAACTCCAATGCGAGTATCCTGCCTTTGCCGCCTCCTTAAGTTGGGTTGCAGCTTTGTCTGCTGTCGGGCTGAGAGGGCTATCCTCAGCCACATCCTCAAAGTCGTCACTATGCACTTCAACTATCGTCTCGCTGCCATTTTCTCCTTTAGCATCTGACTTCAAAGCAGCTTCTGGCTTGAAAGCGGGCTTTGGGTTGGTAGCTGCAGGTTCCTCAAAGTCTGACCCAAAATCATCCTCCACAATAGCTTCATCTGGCGCCGTTGCTATAGGGGACTGCGCCGCACTTGGAGAAGCCTCGCTTGCCGACCTGACTTCTGACTGGGCAGCTGGCTCTGCCTTGCCACCTGCAAGTTCCTCAAAGTCTGAAGCATAATCATCCTCCACAATAGCTTCATCTGGCGCCGTTGCTATAGGGGACTGCGCCGCACTTGGAGAAGCCTCGCTTGCCGACCTGACTTCTGACTGGACAGCTGGCTCTGCCTTGCCACCTGCAAGTTCCTCAAAGTCTGAACCATAATCATCCTCCACAATAGCTTCATCTGGCGTCGTTGCTATAGGGGACTGCGCTGCACTTGGAGAAGCCTCGCTTGCCGACCTGACTTCTGACTGGGCAGCTGGCTCTGCCTTGCCACCTGCAAGTTCCTCAAAGTCTGAACCATAATCATCCTCCACAATAGCTTCATCTGGCGCCATTGCTATAGGGGACTGCGCCGCACTTGGAGAAGCCTCGCTTGCCGACCTGACTTCTGACTGGGCAGCTGGCTCTGGCTTGGTACTGCAGGTTCCTCAAAGTCTGACGCATAACCATCCTCCACAATAGCTTCATCTGGCGCTGTTGCTATAGGGGACTGCGCTGCACTTGGAGAAGCCTCGCTTGCCGACCTGACTTCTGACTGGGCAGCTGGCTCTGGCTTGGTAGCTGCAGGTTCCTCAAAGTCTGACGCATAACCATCCTCCACAATAGCTTCATCTGGCGCTGTTGCTATAGGGGACTGCGCTGCACTTGGAGAAGCCTCGCTTGCCGACCTGACTTCTGACTGGGCAGCTGGCTCTGGCTTGGCAGCTGCAGGTTCCTCAAAGTCTGAGCCATAATCATCCTCCACAATAGCTTCATCTGGCGCCGTTGCCATAGGGGACTGCGCCGCACTTGGAGAAGCCTCGCTTGCCGACCTGACTTCTGACTGGGCAGCTGGCTCTGGCTTGGCAGCTGCAGGTTCCTCAAAGTCTGACCCATAATCATCCTCCACAATAGCTTCATCTGGCGCCATCGCTATAGGAGACTGCGCCGCACTTGGAGAAGCCTCGCTTGCCGACCTGACTTCTGACTGGGCAGCTGGCTCTGGCTTGGTAGCTGCAGGTTCCTCAAAGTCTGAACCATAATCATCCTCCACAATAGCTTCATCTGGCGCCGTCGCTATAGGAGACTGCGCCGCACTTGGAGAAGCCTCGCTTGCCGACCTGACTTCTGACTGGGCAGCTGGCTCTGGCTTGGCAGCTGCAGGTTCCTCAAAGTCTGAGCCATAATCATCCTCCACGATAGCTTCATCTGGCGCCGTTGCTATAGAGGACTGCGGCTTACTTAGAGAAGCCTCGCTTGCTGATCTTGCATTCACTTCCTCTGCATCCCGTGCCGCAGCTGACTGAGCAGCCACAACCTCGTCGGAAACACTAGGCTCCTCAAAGTCATCCTCCCAGAGCGAGTCTCGGCCTCTTTGTCCGCCCGCATCCTTTTCAGCTTCCTGGCTTGCCCCTTTGCCCACACTGGCGACACTGCCTGCCTGCGCCAGTCGCACCATGCAATGGTCTCATGCAACCCAGAGAATTCCCGGCCCCGTTGCTACACCAATGCCATCATGGTTGTGTTGATGTGCTTTCCAGAGTGAGCTTTTCCTTTTGCTCGGAAGGCTGGCAAATGCTAAGAAGCAGCTACCTGAAAGGTTTATAGCAGCAAATGCCTGCCATGAAATACCATCTCAAACAGCAAATCGCCCACATGGTCCTGCATCTAACTTGGACATCCCCCCCTGCCAAAGACAATCTTGCTTAGCAACAACAGTACAGAGAAGGTACTGGCAAATCCCAAGTCAGCCAATTGTGGCAGTAAAAGTATACGTAATCTTGCCGCTATGCATCAATATGACTTCAACCTCCACAGTCGCTCCATCAACCCCTGATGCCCAGTCATGTGCAACGCATGGAAACTCAAATCTCCTGCCTGTGCTTCCTTCTGCAGGGTGTCTGCGGTTGGACTGCGAGGGCTATCCTCAGCAAAATCCTCAAAGTCTGCCTCGTATGCTGCAGCCAACGTCACACCACCATTGTCTCCATCGACTTCTGGCTTGAAAGCCGGCTCTGACTTGAAAGCCGGCTCTGACTTGAAAGCCGGCTCTGACTTGAAAGCCGGCTCTGGCTTCAAAGTCGGCTCTGGCTTGAAAGCCGGCTGTGGCTTCAAAGCCGGCTCTGGCTTGGCCGCTGCAGGTTCCTCGAAGTCTGAGCCATAATCATCCTCCGGAACAGGTTCATCTGGCGCAGTTGCTATAGAGGACTGCGCCTTACCTAGAGAAGCCTCGCTTGCTGATCTTGCATTCACTTCCTCTGCATCCCGTGCCGCAGCTGACTGAGCAGCCACAACCTCGTCGGAAACACTAGGCTCCTCAAAGTCATCCTCCCACAGCGAGTCTCGGCCTCTTTGTCCGCCCGCATCCTTCTCAGCTTCCTGGCTTGCCCCTTTGCCCACACTGGCGACACTGCCTGCCTGCGCCAGTCGCAACACCCATAGCCGGCACAAAAACATTACATGCACCGTTCATGGTGTCGCACATGTATGTTAAGGGGCGTCAAACAGCTTCGTAATTCAAGCCAACACATGCTGGTGCCAGCTGTTGCCGGGTAACTGCAATCAAACGGCTTCAACCTCTAGCCTGAACTAAAGCCTCTCTCAATCAACCTTTCTGCTCAACCGTCCGGCCAAACTTCGAACTCAAACTTATCCTGCCTTTGCTTCCTTCGGCAGGGTGTTTGCTGTTGGACTGCGAGGGCTATCCTCGGCAAAATCCTCAAAGTCTGCACTGTATGCTGCAGCCATCGTCATGCTACCATTGGCTCCATCGACTTCTGACTTGAAAGCTGGCTCTGGCTTCAAAGCCGGCTCTGACTTGAAAGCCGGCTCTGCTGCAGGTTCCTCGAAGTCTGACCCATAATCATCCTCCGGAACAGGTTCATCTGGCGCAGTTGCTATAGAGGACTGCGCCTTACCTAGAGAAGCCTCGCTTGCTGATCTTGCATTCACTTCCTCTGCATCCCGTGCCGCAGCTGACTGAGCAGCCACAACCTCGTCGGAAACACTAGGCTCCTCAAAGTCATCCTCCCACAGCGAGTCTCGGCCTCTTTGTCCGCCCGCATCCTTCTCAGCTTCCTGGCTTGCCCCTTTGCCCACACCGGCAACACAGCTTGCCTGCGCCAGTCGAAACATCCATAGCCGGCACAAAAACACAATACACCAGCATAGACCCCAAATTGCAGCGCTTGCACACCAGCACCTCCAAAAGCACCCCCCCGAAGAACGCCCCAAGCAAAAACTGTCAATGGAGCAAAAATGCCCGCACCATCACCCTGAAGAGCACCCCAAACAGCACCCCCCAAGACACCCAGCCGTCAATCTTGCGGAAATCAACCAAGCACCCCAAACAGAATCCCAAACCACCACCTAAGCTGCATGCCCCTTGCACCCTACCGTCAAGATGCAAACGTGCGCCTGCACCGTCGCCTGCATGCCCGATAATTAGCACCCGAGCGTCAATATCGCAAAATACGCCCGCACTGTCACCAGCACCTCAAACGGCTCCCTACAAACTGCGTCCCACAGCACCATCAGCAGCAGCACCCCAAACTACATTCCCCGCTGCGTCCTACCGTCAAGATGCAAAAATGCGCGCGCACCGTCACCCCCCAAAACAGCACCTGCACAAGCCCAATCAGCACTTACACCAGCACCCCAAACTGCAAGCCCCCTGGCACCAGCCCATCAATCTCGCAAATCACTTTCCCCTCTTTATTAGAAGTTAGAACCCCTATTATAGCTTTCAGCTATCTGGGGGGGGAAGAAAAAAAACATGCACCGTTCATGGTGTCGCACATGTATGTTAAGGGGCGTCAGGCAGCTTCGTGAAATGAATTCAAGCCAACACATGCTTCTGACACGATTTTGTGCAGGGGGAGGTGCCGGCTCTTGCGGGATAACTACAATCAATCGGCTCAACCTCTAGCCTGAACTGAGGCCTCTCTTGATCAACCCCTCTGCCCAACCGTCCGGCCAAACTTCATCTCAATTTTTTCCTGCCTTTGCTTCCTTCGGCAGGGTGTTTGCTGTTGGACTGCGAGGGCTATCCTCGGCAAAATCCTCGAAGTCCTCGCCGTAGGTTTCGGTTCTCCTCAGGTGTCCATTTTCTTTTTCGGCTTTTGACTTTGCAGCTGGCTCTGGCTTGGTCTCCTCTTCTTCGAAGTCTGAGTCATAGTCATCTTCCGGAACAGGTTCATCTGGTGCAGTTGCTTTAGAAGACTGGGCTTTGTTAGCATTCACTTCCTCTGCATCCCGTGCCGCAGCTGACTGAGCAGCCACAACCTCGTCGGAAACACTAGGCTCCTCAAAGTCATCCTCCCAGAGCGAGTCTCGGCCTCTTTGTCCGCCCGCATCCTTCTCAGCTTTCTGGCTTGAACCTTTGCCGGCACCAGCGACGCTGCCTACCTGGGCCCGTCGCAACACACCAGTCTGCATGACTGCTCTTGCTGGCAAACTTGGGAGCAAATACGACCCGAGCCTTGTCAGCTTCATCATCCTCCTTCTGGCGTGCAGCTTGTCTGGTCTCTGTCTGTGCAGTCGGTCTCAGTCCCTCCATCTCACTGCATTTTTATCTCTCTGCTTCTCATCCTCTGCCTCCTCTCTGCCTCTCTCTCTCTCTCTCTCTTCTCTCTCTCTCCCTCTCTCTCTCTGCGCCCTCCCGTTTCTGCTCCCTCTCTGTCTCTCTTTTGCTATATCTATTGTATTCGTCATCTACGTGTTTGCTTACATGTTCCTCATTCTCCCCCTGACAGGTCTTGACAGAAGGCAAGCCTTCTGCATCTCAGTCAGGCGCCATGGGTCAGGCTTGTCGATCGCCTCAGCACAAAGGCCCACTGAATACCTCACGCGGCTGACCCAAAGCGGGGTGGCTGGCCTCTCACTGACTGAGGATCGTCATGCTGCAGTTTTCCAGGAGCGGGAAACAACACCCGACAGCCCAAAAGAGACGACGCAACTCCATTTCGAGGTGTGAATCAGGCTGGGGATCATGCAGGCTTGGCACCCAGGTCCTGGGTCCCCTGTCTGGCTGCTCTCTATATTGGGATGAGACAATCAAGTGAGCATGTCATGCTGTGGATGGACAAAAACCATGGAGAAACCCTCGTTTCTTGGTATCTACCGGGGGAATCGAATCCTTCCAGTGCTTCTCAGGTGGTGCGACATGGTCTTCGTCCATCCAGAGCGCTTGCCGATTGCCGGTGCCGAGCCCCGTGGAAATGATGTGGCTCCCCTTGGCATAGGTGTCCTCTTAGGGGAAATAGATGGCCCTGGTAGATGATCAAACCACCAGGTGTACCAGGAATCGCCATCGATTTTTCGAACAAAACGACCAAAAAGGACACCTATGCCCCTTGAACCTGGCATTGTTTGGACCGCGTCCAAGTCGGCCTCCAGCGCCCCAAACCGCGGCACGGAGGATGCCTCAAGCGAAAGCGAGTAGACTGGCGGCCGCTTTCTGGTGGGGGATCTTGGAGGACCTGAAAGACGACTTTCCTTCTGAGGAACCCTCAACTTCAACTGTCTACTTCCAAGCAAAAGAGGATACAAGTATGTGGCGGTCAAAACCCTGAACCCCTGGTGAACGTCAAAATAGGTGGCAAATGGATGTTCATCCACCCCGAAATGGAGCCATAGCTTATGCCCCATGGCCGTGTGTCATTCACTGCACGGCTCGCCTCTGACACTCCGGTACCACAGCTCGTGGACTGAGAGAGTGTCGAAGCTGCCTGGCCATGAGACGAACAGCGACTCCACTCCTTTTGACTCTGTGAGTGGCTGGCCTTTTTGGGTGGAGCGGGCCTCGGAGAAGTTAGATTCCGTGCGGAAAGCAAGGGAGAAGTGCGTTATTACTCACATGCTGCCGCGATACGGGCAATCTGCCGAAGACTCTGCTCTGCCTAGCTTTCCCCAAGCTGCCGGCGTCTCTGGGACTACCGCCGCCTTAACACGGCAAGCTAATTGATGGTGTTTGCTGCTGGTGGCGCGAAGACAACATGACGCTCGTGAGTGCAAAACACACAGTGGTCGTCCTTGTGCACGACTCAAAATGTGAACGCATACTTGCGCCCTACCTGCGTCTCCCAGACGCCGAGCTTCTCAGCAACCTCGAAGCGGTGTTCATCGCGTGCTGTATCTTCAAAAACGCATGGCAATCCCCAGTAACCCGCAAAAACTTGCAAGTCGCTCGGCCATGGCACACATGTGGCAATGGCGGGAAAAAAAGGCATGTACCAAAATGGCACCTGTTCGTAAATGGAGCCAAAGACTACAACCTGCATGACCCTGGCTCGCGATTTTTTCGAGCCATATGGTTCGGTTTCAGGAAGGCCAAGCCGCTTGCGGGCCGGAGTCATCCCGAAGAGGTGCTGGACTTTACGCTGAAGACCATGTCTTGTTTGCCCTGTATGTTTTGTGTTGCTTACACCCATGTTTTGTGTTTTTTAACACTCGTGCTTTCTGTTGTTTACAGCCATGTTTTGTGTCTTGCTTTTCTCGTCCAAATAGCCCCCATGTCTTGTCTTTTGCTTTTCTCGTCCACCGCCCGGCCTTCACGATGCGCTCGGCCAGCCACTGGGCATTGGGCCACCGCCCGGACTTCAGCTTCGAGAAGACCTGCCGACGCGGCGCTCGCTTTTGGCCTTTAGAGGAAGCGCATCCCGAGTGGCGGCCTCAAAAGGGTGGTGGTTCCTGTAGCAAGGATCCCAAGAAACACAGAGAGAGAGAGAGAGATAAGGAGATAAGGAGCTATGACGTGAACCAAAAGAAAGAGCTATAAGGTGAACCAAGCATTCTACCAGCGCTCAAAGCTTCCAGAGACACGTCATGTTGACATCAAGATAGGCTAAAGGACATGCATCAACCCGAAGGGTTGCATTCTCAACATCTAATTCTGGCATTGGCAACACCCCGCCTTTTCACGGCTGCCCCTATAGCAGAACCACACCTTGCCGAATCGAAGGAGATCCACACACTCGCAGCGTGAAACAGGCCTCGAAGGAGCCAAGCTTTGGATACCTGCGAGAGCGTCTGTCGCGGCAGACGGACGGCAAGGGGTTGCTGTGATAAGGAAGCCTGAAGGAAACCCACTGAGTTAGTGGTGGACGAAATGATCTCTGGCAACACAGCCCAAGAGCCCAGCCTGACAGTTTTCTCAGGCATCCATTTGGAGGATGTAGGGTTGCAGACAAGCATCTGGCAGGCGGCAAGGCAACTGATGGCGCTCGATAACGCTGAGCGTTATAGCACTGAAAGGATTGACGCACTAATTGTTTTGACCACCTCGGGAAGCCTCGATCTTTAAAGGCTCCCTGGCAAAGGCGAGCTTTCACGCCTTGCGGACATTAACTGAGCCTTTCTGCATCGGATCCGATGCCCAGACTCCAGCCTAGCTACCTGCAGACATCTGTTTCACATGGTAAAACCATTCCAGGCATGTGTCATTGGGGTTGGCGCCAATAGGCACCATGAAGTTGTGAGCATTGCGAAACAGCCCGGCCATCTTAAACAGTCACGGAGCTGAGAAGCTTCCAGCGTCACAGGTGCCAAGAGCTCGCTAGCCTCGATAGCCGCGAACAAGTCGCCCTTGACCTTTGTCATACCTCTGCATCGAGTTCATGCCATGGAAGCTAGCGGCTCATTCAAGCAAGCTCAGGTGGCATCCCCAGCAGCCACTCCCGGAACTATGCTGGAACCCCAAAGCCGCTCCGAACCACCTCCGGAGCCTATCCGGGCAAAACACCCATAGCTTCCATGCTAGGAAAAAACAACGCATAGTAACATTACTAGATGCACGAACAACTTCCAATGTTATGGAATTCAGGGCTGCGTGCCCCTCTCACGGCGATGATTGCATATGCCATGCATCAGGCAAGTTGCTGGCTGCTACAGCGGTCCATCTCAACCAGGAAATTGGCATATTCAGAGTACCTGAGCTTGGACTTGAGTCACCCCAATTTTATCAAGTCCATCCAGTGTCTGTGTCAATACAAAGGCTGCCGCCATTTGGAAAAGTGCTCTGCTACGTTCCTGTACGTCACAGGTCCTGGTTTGCACGCTCCAAACGGTGGGTTTGCATGCAGAAACCTCCAGCCCAAGGATTCGTCGATCAGGTCCTTGGACCTCCAGCTTTGGTCTCAGGGCACCAGCGCTGCGGGGCCTTCCAAGATCAAGGCAAAGGCTCGGCTGTGGTTTCGGTGTCTTCTCCAAGCCAGCGGCAGTCATCTTTCCACATGTTTAACAGATCTTTCGGCCTCAAGTCGCCCATACCAGCCTCTGCGGAACCCTTCGAGGCTGTGCTCCTTGCGGCGCCTGGGTCCATTCATCTCGCGGAGTGAAAAACCCAGCCACAACGAGTCAACTTTCTTGACAGTCACAAACCTCAAATGGTACACGCCTCTCCATTTTTACGGTGGATGCGAGACATCAAGGTTGGAGGAAACCAAGCAGCTAAAGCGACCCACAAAATCGTGCGACACACCCACATGTCAACGGTTTGCAACAGTCTCGGTCAGCAGGTCTTTCACAGCAGCAGCTGAAATGTCCGCATCGCCTCCCGCTGCTGCGATCTCAAGCTGTGGCTGGACGTCTGACTTCTTGCTGAGGAGGGCCGCCTGGGCGAGGGGGTGTATATATATATATATATATGTATGTATGTATAGATATATTTTATGTATATTTACAATTTATTTTTCCAGAGAAGGTTGAGTGCAATGCATGCTGCGCAGTGTCCCCTTGCGCACTCGTTTGCTGACCAGCTCTCTCAGTCATCGCTGAAGGGTGAGAAGGGCTGGCTGCAGCCGATTCCGATCATGTGCTGCATCTTGCCCTCTGCCTGCGAATCGCGCGCCAGAGTTCAAACTTGGGTCTGAATGAGAGAGGGAAACGGGCTTTGGACTGGGACACTGAATGCGACTCTGCTGGGCCAACCCTGCTTCAGCAACATCAATGCATCCCCTGTCTCTTGGGGCCTTTGGTGTGGCAAGTCAATTGAGCACTTTCTAAAATAGACAACCCACTGACATGGGGGGTTGCTGTTCTTTTCCTCGCCTCAAGTCCCATCCAACCAGAAATGCCTAATGCTGACCCCATATTTATCAACCCCAGTATATGAGGAGCGGACGAAACACTTTACTTGGCCCTAGTACTTTTTTGAGGGTTATCGTTTTTGGGGGAGACCTTATCGTTTTACAGTGTTTTAGAACTTCCGCAGCTCCAGCTCGATAATCGCAACTTTGTAGTACAAGTCTAGTACGCGAAGTACACTTCCGCAGCTCCAGCTCGAAAATCGCAACTTTGTAGTACAAGTCTAGTACGCGAGGAACACTTCCGCATGTCCAGCTCAAAAATCGCAACTTTGTAGTACAAGTCTAGTACGCGAAGGAAACTTCCGCAGCTCCAGCTCGATAATCGCAACTTTGTAGTACAAGTCTAGTACGCGAGGTACACTTCCGTAGCTGCAGCTCGAAAATCGCAGCTTTGTAGTACAAGTCTAGTACGCGAAGTACACTTCCGCATGTCCAGCTCGAAAATCGCAGCTTTGTAGTAAAAGTCTAGTACGCGAAGCACACTTCCGCAGCTCCAGCTCGAAAATCGCAACTTTGTAGTACAAGTCTAGTACGCAAAGCGCACTTCCGCATCTCCAGCTCAGAAATCGCAACTTTGTAGTACAAGTCTAGTACGCGAAGGAAACTTCCGCAGCTCCAGCTCGAAAGTCGCAACTTTGTAGTACAAGCCTAGTACGCGAAGTGCACTTCCGCAGCTCCAGCTCGAAAATCGCAACTTTGTAGTACAAGTCTAGTACGCGAGGAACACTTCCGCATGTCCAGCTCGAAAATCGCAGCTTTGTAGTACAAGTCTAGTACGCGAAGGAAACTTCCGCATCTCCAGCTCGAAAATCGCAGCTTTGTAGTACAAGTCTAGTACGCGAAGTACACTTCCGCAGCTCCAGCTCGAAAATCGCAACTTTGTAGTACAAGTCTAGTACGCGAAGGAAACTTCCGCAGATCCAGCTCGAAAATACAAAAATCGCAACTTTGTAGTACAAGTCTAGTACGTCAAGCGCACTTCCGCATCTCCAGCTCAGAAATCGCAACTTTGTAGAACAAGTCTAGTATGCGAAATACACTTCCGCAGCTCCAGCTCGAAAATCCACAACTTTGTAGTACAAGTCTGGTACGCGAAGTACACTTCCGCAGCTCCAGCTCGAAAATCGCAACTTTGTAGTACAAGTCTAGTACGCGAGGAACACTTCCGCATGTCCAGCTCAGAAATCGCAACTTTGTAGAGCAAGTCTAGTACGCGAAATACACTTCCGCAGCTCCAGCTCGAAAATCGCAACTTTGTAGTGCAAGTCTAGTACGCGAGGTACACTTCCGCATCTCCAGCTCGAAAATCGCAGCTTTGTAGTGCAAGTCTAGTACGCGAAGTACACTTCCGCAGCTCCAGCTCGAAAATCGCAACTTTGTAGTACAAGTCTAGTGCGCGAAGGAAACTTCCGCAGCTCCAGCTCGAGAATCGCAACTTTGTAGTACAAGTTTAGTGCGGGAAGTACACTTCCGCAGCTCCAGCTCGAAAGTCGCAACTTTGTAGTAAAAGAATAGTAGGCGAAGGAAACTTCCGCAGCTCCAGCTCGAAAATCCACAACTTTGTAGTACAAGTCTGGTACGCGAAGCACACTTCCGCAGCTCCAGCTCGAAAATCGCAACTTTGCAGATAAGGGAAAAGTACGCGAAGTACACTTCTGCAGATCCAGCTCGAAAATCCACAACGAAGAAGTACAAGTCTAGTGCGCAAAGTACACTTCCGCAGCTCCAGCTCGAAACTCGAAGCTTTGTAGTTCAAGTCTAGTACGCGAAGTACACTTCCGCATCTCCAGCTCGAAAATCGCAGCTTTGTAGTACAAGTCTAGTACGCGAAGTACACTTGCGCATCTCCAGCTCGAAAATCGCAACTGTGTAGTACAAGTCTAGTACGCGAAGTACACTTCCGCATCTCCAGCTCGAAAATCGCAACTTTGTAGTACAAGTCAAGTACGTGAAATACACTTCCGCAGCTCCAGCTCGAGAATCGCAACTTCTCAGTACAAGTGTCGTATTTACGAAGCACACCTTGGCAGCTGCAGCTCGAAAGTGGCGACTCGCCTTCTGGTTTTACGGTGGCCACGCAAGGGTCCCACCCTAACTAAGTTGCAACTGCAGGGGTTATTTTAGAGCTGTGTGTTAGCTAAGGGTTATCGTTTTTGGGGGAGACCTTATCGTTTTCCATGGTTTTGGCATGTGTTATGCAAAAACGTACCCCGCCTTGATAAAGTGGTCTTCGTGTGTTTTGTCCGTGGCTCATATGAATAGGGTCCCTGGGTTTAGTGGGGAATCAGCGCACTTTTGGAGGGCCCCAAAACAACCCCATATTTGTTCATAAAACTGGTTGGATGATTTTCTACATAGGTCAGTATTTGGCTCGCCGTCTCAACCGGGCACCCGGAAACTCTCAGCCCGCGGCGTTGGGCCAGCGCCAGGCCACGCAGCGCTGCATGGTCAGCAGCTGCAGCGGCAGCCGCAGCGGGCTGGTGACCCCCGGCTCGGCGGCCTGGCGCATCGCCGAATTGTGACACACCGCACCGCGAGCAAAAGCAATGGACCAAGAAACCAAGGAGCAAAGAAGTCAAAGAAGCATACCAGAAAGCCAGCCATCCAACAAATCAGCCAGGCAGCTAAACCAGAAAGCCAAGCGGCCCAACCTAACCCAACCCACCCAAACAAAAAAAATGTGCGCGGTCTGCAAGAAGAGAAACACATGCCATGACCATGACCATGCATTGCTCCTGTCAAATCCTTTAGCAATGCTATGTGGGTTGGTCGCCAGCTGGCATTGATGGGGTGGGTTTCGGAACACTGAAAGCTTTGGTTGCATTCCGTCACTATGCACTTAGCTTGCCCAACACCCGCCACCCTCCCCAAACAAGTGGCAGTTCTGTCCCATGCCTCTTCCCCGAACCAAAAGGCATGGGTAGACAAACAAAAGTGTGATGATTATTTCAAAAAACAGAACAACCACCGCGGAAGAATGCCTTGGTGATCAACAAACAACCAGCGGAAGGAAAGCGCGCATCGGCACCCGGCCATCAGGGCACTGGCAGCTTGCAGCTTTGCAGGATGATCTGTCTTCCGCCGCTTCCGTTGCCTCGACATCCACTTCGAACGCATCAATTTGGGCTTCCTACAAGAGGGAGTACGTTGCAAGAATTCCCCAGTAGAAGTCAATGGAAAGGATCCCTATCTACAGCTCAGAATGCTCTCCAGCGGCCTCTGCCTTTCCTCTTCAAGTTCCTGAAGGCATGCATAAAGCCAACAAATATTCAGGACTCACAGCCTGTGTCTCAAATTTCAACAACTTGTGAAGGATAAATTCTCCGAGACGCTGCCAGCAAAGCTTCTGCTTCCCGGAGTTGTTTCGCCTCCCGTGCCTCCTGCATCGTGCAACATTGCACGCCGCCTGCGCTGCCCGATCTGTCCTTCGCGTCCTGCTTAGCTTCCCCCGAAGCTTTTGGCATGGCGCAAACAAGATTCGCGGGATTGCGTGAACAACTATGCGCGAATCCAACCAAAGCTTCTGAGTCCTGGCAAACAGTCTCTATGCTTCTGGCATTGGGTGCTTGGGAGTTCATTCCTTTCCGCGCGGCTAGCATGCTCGAAGGCTTGCTCTGCTTTATGTGGGTATCCTGATCTTTCAAGAACCCTCCAAGTCTCCTAGCAATAGGCGCAACTTTCTTTTAACGGCCACCAAGCTGCAGGTTCCCATTTCGGGCCACCTCCGTCCCTGTTTGTAGCGTAGGTATTCTTTGTGAGCCGTCGGCGACAAGCTGCAAACTGTCAAGCGCAGCTTGGGGTGAGACTGTCTTGACATAGACGGCCTGTCCTGGCAAACCGCAGCAAAAGAGTGACTCTCTCTTAGTGCTGAACATTGCCTGGCAGTTGACTCCATGTGCTCATTCCAAAGTCTCTGAAGCCACGCTAGACATGCGCTAGATTGACTTTCGGGCACATCCTGGTGCCCCTCTTCCAAGAGAAAACAGAAGCGTCAAATCTGTCTTCTGTCAGACTCTCAATATCTCGCTCTTTGGAATTGAATCACAGCACATTCGGAAGTGCTGGAAACAAGCAGTCATAATATGATACAAAGGCGCTGCTCACTCTGAAGGGATAGGCACTGACTGCCAACTCTAAGGGGCGTGGCATTTGTAAACAGCGCCCAGAGGATGATGGTCCATGAAATATCTCTCGGCTACCGAGAAAGTCATTTGGCAGTACATCAGAATAGGTGGCAAATGGATGTTCATCTACCCCCAAATGGAGCCATAGGTTATGCCCCAGGGCCATTTCATTGCGTAAGACCATTGCCCGCCCGCAGGCTTTCCGAAAGCTTCCTGTTCTTCGCTCTATGCTGCTTTCTCCCAATATTTGCCAAACTTTGGGAAAAATGAAACAGCAACACAAAGAGTGACATCTTCAGGTTGCGCCTCAGCGGTTTAAGCGCCATTAGTTTGTGGATAAGAGCAGAGCTCCGAACACATCAGGTCAAATCTCACATGCGCAACACCTCTGCCACACAGCTCCTGGCCACTTTGCGTCAGATCCGTGGCCACTTGCTTTGCCAGCCGCGCGTCGAAACTGCGCCACATGGCAAACACGGATGGCGTGGAAGGGCCGAACCCTCACACGGGGGTTGATCAAAAGGTCCGATACACATGGGATGACCACCAGGCAAACCGCCCCCCAAGAAAAAGCTGTTCACCACAAAGAAAAGCTACCCATGGTCCTTCTGGGGCCGAAAAACGGGATATTGATCAACTGCCGACCCAAATCTCTCTCGCCTGCCCTTCGAAGGGCTCTTCAAACCTAGGCGTTTTGACTGGCCCGTGGAATCAGTGGGGAGACTGGGGCTCCAAGCCATGGCTCGCGCCGCGAGCAGGCTGGCGCTCCTTCCGCATTCCGCGCCCAAAAGAAAAACCCTAGTGAAAAGCACTGCCCCGGGGATGGATCTGTTTGGCACGTGCAGTGCACTTTGCTGCGAAGGCGAAGTCCACGTTTCAGCAAGACGATAGCTCCTCTGCCGCTGCGAAGGACAAGGCCTGCCAAAAAAAAACATAGGGCCGTATGTGAAACAGCTGCGAGATGTGTGGCAGCACAAAGCAGGCCCTCTCTCTCTACATTCTTTGGCGCACGAGCTTGCCCGATCAAAGTGAAACCGTGCAAGGATTGCCCATCGAGAGCCGCTGATAGCCAAGACTTCGCTCAAACGCTAAGCTGCGAATCCTGGCACGGACTTGAAAGGAATGCTTTGGGGGAGAAGCGAAAGGCCCCTGTGGACTTGTCTTGGACATTTCTCCTGACTTCCCATTCTACGCATTCTGCTCTCTGATTCTTTTCTAGCATTCCTAAAAGCCAACTTGGGACACACTGGACCTTGGGTCCATGGGCAAAAGACAGCAAGGGTGCTTGGTGCCTTCAGCACCAAACATCCCCAAATTATCTCGCACCGACTTCTCGGAGTGAGCGCGTCACCTGGGCTTTGGGGGCTTGGGTCGAAAGCATTCGAGTCTCGAGCGCCTTGGTTTTTGAATGGGAAGCCAACCGGAAACCAGCCGTTTCTCGAAAGCGATTCTTGTTTTCTAAGCATTTGCTGGGTCTGCACAAAGGGCTACACTCATTTGCATGCGGCTTGAAGTTGGCCGACATCCAGGTAAGGGGACACCCGGCAAAAACCTGCAGGGTCGCTAAGTTGGAGCCCAAGCCATGTGTGTTTCCAGAAATTTAAGTCCCTTCTCGACTCAGCTCCAGGCAGAGGTGGATCCCTAGCTCATTTCTCCTCAAATGCAGAAAGCGAGACGCGGGTTAAAACAGAGACACAGTACAAATCTCTTTCCGCCCAGAAGCTTGCAACATGCGCTTGAGCTTGGTGGAATCGGCGATCATGCCTGGGTTGCTCCTGCAGCATCCAATGCTCCACTCCGGCAAGGGCAAAAATCATTGCTTGCAGCCAAGAGAAACCCTGATCAATCCCAGTCCTCATATCTGGCATCTCTCCTGTGTAGTAGTTCTTGTGCGTTGTGACCTCTTCCATGCATCATCCACTTGAGCAAGATGATGCTTCAATGAGCGCATCACAAAGTTAGCTGAAATCACACTGTTGGGTCAGGCACACTGTGTGGTTTGTTAGAAATCAATGCTGTGTCAGAACAACTCTCGCGGCTGGGAGAACTGAGGGTGGTGCAAAGCGGCGATTGTGCACACAGAATCTATCCTGCCGAGGCTGTGCGACATACACAATTCAAAACCCGCTTCAAGAATTCATATGGCTGTGGGTCAAAAATAGGTACCCAAAATAGAACCCTTGTAAGAGGAAACATGGACTAAAAGCTGCGGTCCCCTGGTGGTTTAATTTTGACCCACAGCCATATTTACACCAAAGTCGCGAAAGGTTTGTCTCGGAAGTCCTTGAACTCAATGGTTGATGCATTCTTCAGGGGCACTGGTGCATCCTTGCAGCATGCAGCATGCGGGCACCCCCCTCGCCCTCGGTTCAGTGACAAACGCCAACCTCCACGGCCAGTCTTGATCGCGTAGCATTGGCTGAATATGGGATCAGCGGCTTCCTGCCATGTTGGGATGCATGGAAACAATCCCACTTTTCTGTTGCTTTCATTGCGTGCTTCCATGATATGGGTGTCCTTTTCAGGCAACCCCCCAAAATGGTGGTTGTCCTTTGGTTTTCTTTAAACCAGCCCTAAAAAAGGTACCCTTCAAAAAGACACTCTGAGACTGTCATTTGCCATCTTCCAAAACCAGCCACTCGCATATTCAGCATTTAGCTCTGACTGTACCTCATGCAGCTGTCTGACTAGCACAATCGTGGCGAGGGAGGCTTATCCATGGACGCATAGCAGTGGGGAATCTGGTCAGGTCACATGCAAGCTGTGCGGAAACTTTGGCTCTAGGGAGTGCCTCCTTGAACGAGTCCTGATATTCTGATGCCTGAGTTCAAGGCAGAAAACTACCTTCCCCCTGATCCCCCCCAATGCTAAGTGGGTCCCCGGGAAAAAACGGTTTTAACATTAAAGGGCCCCTGTTCGTTTTCGGAGAACTGTACTCCGGAGCTCCAGCTCGAAAGTCGCAACTTTGTAGTACAGCCGTAGCAAAGAAAACGTACTCCCGGGTCCCCCTCATAGGACTGGATTTGACCACGGGCGGGAAAATACCTACTTTAGAATTGGTTTAGTATTGGCTATTCTAAAAGTAGTACTCCCCGATTTGGGATTTTCAAAAGTCGGTTTTAGTATTCGGGGTACGTTTAGCATTAGGGAGAAGGGATTCAACCACAAGAAGCAACGCAGGAACTGAGGTTGCAGCGCCATTGAAGCGGGGAGCAGTTTGCATCTTCACCTTGGTGCCTGCAAAGAAAAAGGTTTCAATTGGAGCGCTCTCCAACATCAAGGCCTGTCTTGTGAGGAAGAGCAAGCATGCTGCCAGCAACCATCATAAAGCCGGAGGCCGAACCAACCTGGCGGGAGTCGGGAGCCAGGACTGCTAGCCTGAATTGGGACCGTCCTTGGAGTTCTTTACGAAGTCAGACCTGAAAGTTGCCCACACGAACACACAGGCACGCACCCACGCAAAAACAAAAAAAACTGACATAATCCAGAGAAGCAACAGGAAATTGAAAAAAGCACGTCCGCGCTGACTGGGGCAACTGGGTCTGCGGCGCTCCTTCGCTGCTGCTCTTTGCCATGGCCATGCAAGGAGTGCCCCAACACCTGGGTCGTGCCGACTGCTCAATCGCTCGCTCCGGCCGTGTGAGCCCGCCTGTGACTCGACTGCGTCTGACAGGCCAAATCGCCCAGGGCTTGAGCTCATGGGCTGCAAAGGCCATGTTCCAAGACGTCTGCAAAATGCGACTTGCGCCTGTCTCAAGACTTCGTGTTTGCACGATGGTAAAAGTTCCCTCTAACGCCCCAAGGGGGTTAATGGACATGAGCAGGCCATTCGACTTTGCGACATCTACTCCGAACTCGACCACTGGACCAGCCTCCTGAACACGGGAGTGCGATCGAGGAATGCTGCGCGAGCTGTCCTCCGTCATGCTCGGTGGCCGGCCTGACCAGAATTCTGGGTGAATTATAATACTTCACCAGCCTGAAATAAGGTGGTTGGAGGGATATTCCACACATAAACCACCATTTGGGGTGAGGTCGTGTGAGGTCGTTATAATTCACCCAGAGAATTGCTCCTCGTCTTGCACAAGACGGGCAGGGACAGACACTCGCTGGGTGCCGCACGCCCCGAGGTCACGCGATCAGACGCTGTTCGATCTGAAGTAGGTCGAAGCAGCTCAGAGTCTTCAAGCTGCTGCAAGGCCTGGCAAAGTCGCACCCGAATCGAGTATCTCCCAGCTACCTTGTGGTTCCGCCAAATGCACGTTGATCCCGGCGTGATTCACTGGCTCAAATAAGAATTCATCGCTGAAGAGTCAGGCCGCTTCCGGGGGGCAACAATACGGCGAGACCCTCAAGAAAATATGCAGTGCCAATGTATCGAGTCCTTGCATACGATAGCTGTTACTTGGCCTTGCTCCCATCTCGAAATCGTCAAGTACATCCACGGTGATACACACTTGATATTTCCAGGACCTTCATTCGACATTATTTACTGAATATGAATTTCCTGTCAGTGAATGTTGCTGTCCTTCTGAGCTCTAGCTTATTCCTATTCTATGTCTGAATTCTATCTTCCTTCTCACAAGGTGACAACTGGGATCATCCTAAAGGACCCTACACAGCGATGACTTCCTTGGAACACTGCCAATCCTGCCTGCCAATCAGCTTTCAACCTGCCCAAGGCTGACAATACAAGCAAACCAACACATTTGGTGATCATGTTGGTGTGGCTTGCCAACGTGGGCGCTCCCAGGCTCTGATTGCATGTCAAGTTCAATGAATCCACACGTCAACTGGGCCTCATCTCCTTGACTTCAGCTTTCAGCTCGAGCTCTCGATGCTCAGCCTTCCAGTGCAACTCTCGCTGCTCCGCCTGGCACCGCTGAAAACCCAGGCGACCCGTGCCGCCGTGCCGACTGTCTGTGGGTGGGTGAGTGGGCGGGCAGGTGGGTGGATGGCTGGGAGCTTGGGCGCGCGCACGCGCGTGCATAAGTGCGCGCGTGCGTGCAGGCAAACAGGCGGGCAGGTAGGCAAGCAGGCGGGCGGACAGGCAGGCCGTTAGGCAAGCGTGCGCGCGCGCGCGCTTGCACATGCGTGTGTGCTTGCGAGACACAAACGCAGACACACAAATACACATACACATAGACATGCACGCCGACCTACACATAGTCACACACTCACACAAACACAAACACAAACACACACACACACACACACACACACACACCAAAAAAGACGCGACAGACACAAACACAAACACAAACACGCGCAAACCCACACATAGGCCCATCAAGATCTTGACTGCGACAAAGCTCCCCAGCCTTTAGCTCCAATTGCAGCCTCATCTCCCTCTCTGCGCTGATCAAATCCTGGCCGATCAATCACATCGTATGAGCCTTTCAATCGTTCCCTTTTCGGACCCAGGAGTGAGCACTGCGCGATCATTGTTCAGCAAGGCCAACTGCATAGACCCCCTGGTCCTCGCGCTGCTGCCTGAGTTCCTGCTCAAGCCTCTTGGCCTCCAAATCTCGGCGCTGAACCTGGCAAGTGACAGGGCAATACAAGGCTTGTTCTCCCAAATCCACCAGTACTCTGTGATGCTTCAACCACTCAACCACTCTTCGGGCCAAACATCAAACTGTGACTGTTGCGACTCTGCAAGTGGCACTGTCGCCAGCTGCATCAAATTGGCCCAGCCTCTCGCGCTGCTGCAGCAGAGTCCTCAGCATGTCAGCTGGACCCAGCGGCCAACTCCTTTCAACTGGGCGACCCTTCTTTCAATCTTATGGAATTGCGACTGAAACAGAAAATCGAAGCATAAAGGAAACCGCTGCCATTTGGAGAAGCCCTAGTTTGAGAATGCTTGAGACACAGTAGAAATGGCTGTACAGAACTCGTAGAGAACTCTTAGGCAACTCCCGAGGCACGAGCTTCTCGCCGAAGCCTATCTGCAATCTGGGATTCCTGACAGGGCTTGCACGTTGCAAAGAAAAACGGTCCAGCGAATTGCCTCATGCGCTCTCTTGGCGATGACCTCCTCCTGCAACATTCAACCATGACCGCACTCACAAGCCGAGCGTCTCCAATGTGGAACAAAACATATTCTCTCAGGCCTCGTTGGCTCTTTTCGCCGCAGTGTCCACCTTCACAGTTCAAAGCCACACGAGCATTCGACTGTGCGCCTGGCACAACGAGAAACGAATGTGAAACGAAAGCTTAGGTCTTCCACGCGTTCCCGCAGCATCTCCATGGTTTGAGACATCTGGCCGAAATGGCAGCTCTTCTCTCTGCAAGCTAATTACCAGTACAAAATGTGACAAATGATTGACATATTGAAATGCTCAAGAATCAGAGCGAGTTGCCTCTTCAGCTCTTGCTGCCATCATCTGCTCCTAAGACAACTTGCAATCAGCATTGCACGGCAGTCCGATTCACTGAGGATCCCGCGCTCTGTGACAGCATGTTGAGAGTCTCTGACATCTGGCAATTCAGCACGATTCAGCAAAAGGTAGCCAGATTGTATCTGGTCAGGAACGTGTGTTTCAGCATCACGTCCATCGCTTCACACAGCTGGAGGCGTCCAGTCTGAACATATGAAAGCGATTGGAAGCTAGAAAGAACGAGCTTGGTAGTACAACATGCACGTGTCTTCGGTTGCACTGTTGCAGAAGCCCGCAATTCACATTTGAAGCCGCGCACTCACTGGTGCAGTCCGAAACAATTCGCCTGTCTAGTGATTGCAAAAGGAAAACGTTAAGCAAATCTCAAAAGAGGCGGTCGTTTGCATGTTTCGTGCTACATGTGTGGTCGGCATTAAATGCTGTTGGTCATGAATGCGGATTGCATGCATTTTTGCATGACCCCGTTCTTCTTGCTTCAAGCTCGGTCTGGCTTTGCTGCTCAGGACACTGGCACCGTCCCCATCTCCAAAGTCCATGAAACTACTTGTCTAACACCCTAGCTCCATGCATCCTTCCAGGGCTTCTCTCAAAGAACGATTGCATATGTGTGTCTCCTTCCTTTTGAGGCGTCTATGCGGCGTCTTAGCCTGCCAAAAGCTCAAGTTTGCCGCTGTGAGGCATCAAAATGCTAGCACCGTCAAAATGCTTCAAGCACACCGAACAACCAGATGTGTAAATGATGCATGCGTGTACAACATACACAAAGATCTCGCCTACGGGCGGTGGCAAGGCTGTTAGCCTGGAGACCACTGGACCAGCTCATTCCAGCCACCTCGTTGGCCAGCCCCCGCCGCTTGGGTTAAAGTTCCTAGCAACCGCTTTGCGCAGCAGCCCACGCAGACTGCTCAGTCCGGCCCCGGCATCCTTTGCTCAAGCAAGCGGTGTTCTTACGACTGAGTGTTCTTTTGAGCCCGGCCGAAGCGGGCAGCGTGCAGTGTTTGCAGTTAAGAGCATGCACAATGCAGACATGTGCACATGTGCACATATATAGATATATATATATATAAATGACTTGCAAATGAAATGGAAACGACAAAAGCATCGAGGATGTCAAGAGCAGGCTGGCGACAAGCCCCCGCACCGAAACGGCTGCCTGCTTCTGCACCCGCAGTTCAGCGGTCATGGCCGCTGCGCGAGCCTCCTCCTTCGTGGCGCTCAACCAAATTCAGCGGGGGGTTGGCCGGATACCCAATGGCAGTCCGCGCCTCCGACTCCTTGATCTTCGCAAGCTCACTTGCCAACGCACGACGAACCTTGCTTGTCAGGAATCATGCGGACAGGCAAACAAAGCTCGGCCTCCTCATCTCTGGCAGCCTGCGCTGCATCATTTGCCTGGGGCACGACAACTGGTCTCCATCCACGACAGGGTCTCTGCTTTGGGTTTGATAATCATGTTGAATACATGAGTTTGTAAATCATGGTAAATCTAGCATCCGGATAGTTCCAACCAGCTGCAACGGCGAAGTGCTCAAACCGGGATGGGCAACTGGCTTCTGGCCTGCGCGCTGCTCTGCAAGTGTTGGCGCAAGCTCTCGGTCACCTGCTGTCAAGTCCATCGAGAGAAAAGCTACGCAACACCGGCAAGACAAGCAGCCAGTCCTGCTCGCAGAGCATCTGACTGTCAAACCTGCCCGTATGAAGACACAGGATGGCATGCGAACACCAGAGGTCATGAGGCCATCTGATCTGGATGAACAATCCCCATCTGTGCCCATCCGCTCGAAGGTCTCATGCGCCGTTTTGGTGGTTGCTTGCTCAGAGCACAGTAAGCCGGCGCTCACTACGCCACTCCACAACGATCTGCTGCAACTGCTCCAACCAATGGCCTCAGTATGTTTGTCAAGGGCAGACAAAAGGCAAACAAGAATTGCCACGGTCATGCTCTTCATTTCGAAAGCCTGGCTTCCCC